GCCGAGAACGATCGTTTATCAACAATAAAAGTCAGCCAAAACACAAACAATGTTTGTTTTTGAACTTCATTGATAAGTTTAACTTCAATACAACTTCAAAGTAACAGTTAAACATTAGCTTGTCGTGGAACACTACTGAGGGACGTCTAGCGGTCAAAAACATAAACAAACACGCAATCGGCTGGGTAAAGTGGAATTTTATTTTTTATTTTAATATTCCATAAATGTCAGTGCTATTCAAGGATATTTTAACACAATATCTTGAAGGAGGTATGTTCTTTCCAAATTTTTGTTGTTTATGCTCTCATTTACCGAGTTTTAGTTGAGCTTGCCGACTTAAGTCTCCTCCCGAGGAGGCTTGACATCGTCGACTTACAGCTAAGAAAATAACGACGTAAGCGACCTTTTAGATTCCTTGTGAAACGGGACTTAGTGACGTAACGACTTAATTACGTTGGTAACCAAGCCCTAAGTCAGGGAAACCGACTTAAGTTTTTTTGTGAAACGGGGGCCTGGGCTCTGTAACTTGAAAGCATAGCAAATTGCGACCTAGTGAAAGTGTCTCTATTCCATAACTTGGGATTTACTTGCCCCATATAACAGCCTCGAAATAAAAGGTGATATTGCTATTTGAGATGCTTTCTAGTTACGGAGCTCTGGCCAGACTGAGAACGATATTGTAAGCTTGCTAGCTTTCAGTGCCTCACATGGGAGCTGGGCTGTATCTTTCCCAGGGAAAGATCATCAACATAGGTTGTAATGACCAGGCACCAAACTGTTATATATATATATATATATATATATATATATATATATATATATATATATATATATATATATATACCGCACATAATTGTACTCGCTGTTAAAATTCTACTGAACAGATTTGGAATTTAGAGGTTCGTTTGGGATAAAAATTGAGAAGTTCCCATTAAGAGTTTTATCCAAAAATTCAATGTCAGTTTCTTGCTAACTTTACAGACTTGACTGACCTTGGCACCACAATAAATGTACATAACATAAATTGAATTAAAATGTTAAATATACAGTCCTAAGCCGTCCGAGGCGAAGTTGCAGCGGTTTGACAAACGCCATTAGTATTTTGTCTGAAAAAGAATATGTATCAGAGAGAAAATTAAAAGCACAATGACATCATTACCTGCTTATCACAGTGTCCGCTTCTGGTCAAATTTGAGAGAATCCGTAGCATGGTTATTTGCTTGAAAATCAGAAAACCTTGGAGGTCACCTAATTTTCTGCTGGAGCAACCGGGAAATGTAGAGATAGTAGGATGTTTGAATTTTATTTGTCAAAAATTGCCTTTATTTTTTTACATCATCAAAGGGTCACTATGATACAAAGAAATATAAAAAAAAAATATATGGATATTTACAATGCTTTTATAACATGTTGATATGTGCACTTAGCAACGAAACTAAACGACGAATAAACGAATACAAACGTGGCGCGAAATGTGTATCTATGTTATATGCGGTATGTGTGTGCATCCTATTTGGCCCTGTCAAACAACTTTTATGTCGGCTCCTCATTTTTTGTTGTATGCGTGTATTTCTGGGTATGATTATATTTGCTGTTCCTGTCCGCTTTTTTATTTTACGTGTATGCAAGAAAAATGGGAATTGGGGAGGGGGCGGGTTCAGTACTCTTTAATTTTACGAGGGTAGGGAATACCTTTTGCGTTCCGCGTGATTGGCCTTATTTTTCGAGCGTGATGCGTTATTTGACCCCAATTTTCTGCGTGAAACGCGATTCAGGAATTTTTGGTGATTGGCCTGATTATGTATTGGTGATTAAGGGGGGGGGGGGGTACTCCCTACCCTCTTTCACATACAAGAGAAACTTAATTACCGTCAAAATGATGATTAAGAGACCTACGCTTAATATTAATGTTTGAGTTCTCACGTGTACGTGACCTGCACTTCGATCTTTCAGGGCAGCAAGAGTGAATTTTTAAACAGATCCACCACAAAGTCGGCTGGAGCTGCAGTAGGGCCTACTGTATTTATAACAGATAACAAGTAAGCGCAACATTAGCACTCTGGAATTCATTAATAACACAAAGCATGATATAACTGTTGAAAGTAACCCAGAAAAGACCTGTAACTTTTTTTTGACATTGATCTGTTCAGTTGCCAGGTTCGCAGACCAAAATGCAATTACACCACTATATTTTTTTTCACAAAAGTAACAAAAACTAACTCATTTTTTAGTTCATATGAATAACTTAAAGGGAAATTTAATTGATAAAATGCCTTTTGGGGACATAAATGATAATTTTAAACTGCCTCTTCAATCCTTAGAATAAAAATATATGGAATAAGCTAAATAAGTCATATGTCAACAGCAACCATTCATGAGCGTCTAACCTTTGGAGAAGCAAGGATGTCCCCAGGAGAAGTTATCAATGGCCAGCATGAAGGTAAAAAAGGAACTAAATCTTCCAAAAAAGACAAAGAGAATGCCTCTGTGTGTTATGTGACTTGCAAATCAGTGCAAAAGAGTTAACACTAGCAAGCAGATTTGGATAATACCAAATCTTTATTGTTTTGACACTTACAGTGGTACTAAACAACAGGAAATGGGAATTATTTCACTTTGCGCTATAGTGTACATTGTGTTGTTTGAGAACTGTATCTCAACTAACACATTTTTTTCTGTTCACCTTTACAGAAACTATTCAGTGTGTATTGTTGGATGCAATGGAAGTTGCACTTGACTTGTATATATGAATGAGATTCAATGTAAAGCCATGGATTTTTACTTAGATGACAGCTGGTGTATTTGTTTTTTTATAAACCAAGCTGTTCTGTCTCGTGTTTGAGAATCATTATAAAGTATTATTGCTATTGTTATGATAATAATAAAACATAAGTACCTGCCTGCTGATTGGTGTAATTAAATAAGAACACAATTTAAGGTTTCAAAGTTATAAACCTGAATTAACAGCATTGTCAATGATATCCAGATATGAAATTAAACAGTTTCCGTGCCTGTAGCCAGGGGATGTGGAGGTTTCAACAAACCGCCCTTTTGATGGGGAAAAAGTCTGGTTTTAACAAAATTTGATCTAGGTTCATGATGGTTTCATGACAGAAAGTCCACTTTTTCAGTAAAGAGTCACCACTTTAAAATTGTTGGCTAGGGGCCTGGATCCTAATTAGTTTCTGAGTATGTTTATGTGGATTATGTATCTTACAATTTTGCATTAATTGATTCTGGATTTAAGATAGCATATGTGTTTGCTTACCTAGCTGTCTGGTAAATGGACCCCAATTGACTTGACTATTCCTTGCTTGGGCTTTTTTGCTTAATTAGAATTGTTATCCACAGTGTTCAGGATCTGACAGATGACCCTAGACTGATTCCTGCGGGAGGTCAGTTGATTTTCCCTGCAGGAACTGTTGGAAATATCCCTGGATTGCAGCTTTTTATTGTGAGGCTGTTATTTAGCTGGCCATAATTTACTATCTTCAGTTATGATATTCTTCATGCAAAAGATAGAGAAAAATCTTTAGCAGATAAAGTCGGATTGTAATCAACTATTTTATTGTGTTAATTTCATGAAATAATCTTATTACAGACTCGGCTTGGTTCATTAATTGAGCAGCTTGATCTTATTGTCTAGACACCATGACTCCATGTGGCGGCACAGGAGCTCTATTTATTTTCTTCTGATTTAGAGATCTGTTATTGTTTGGCAGGAGCGTATTAAGCTGGAATAAAATATCTTTGACACTTGTCTATTGATCCTCCACCTTTTGTGTCCAAATGTGAAATTGCTCTCTGTTAGAAAGTATTCAGAGCTCAGCTCCCGCTGGGAGAGAGGCAACCTGCTTGTGTGTGCTTATACTGCCTGATAAACTAATGGTATTGACTGAAAACCCAAGGTTAAACTTTGATGGGACTTGAAATAAGATTCTGTTGAATAACATAGAACTGACTAAATGATTTTGCAGGCAACTCCATGGCTTGTTCCAGATAATTGATAAAGAAATAATTACGAGAAGTTACAATGCTTCATTCCTCTTGCTTCTAATGTCTAACAGAATCTGCAACTAGATATTTTTGAGCATGTTATAAATCAATCTCAATTATCAGATGCAAAAATCACTGAGAAAATATTGGTTACTTAATACTATGGATGTATAAATGGATTAAGAATAGCTATAAGTAAATGATTAAAGGCATGGGGGACAAATTATTACACAGTGAAATAGTTAATGAAACAAATTTTGAGAATGTTTTTTTCTCTATGTCAACTCCACCTCAGTGACTCATATCAAGTAATCCAAGCACTTTTTTTTATTTTTTTAAAGATTAGAAAGAATTTAATATTGATGTTTTCCTAAATTAATATTGTAATTTAGAAAATAAGACTATTCTGGACACCTCTTTATAGTTTATGAAAGCACAGAAATTGCTGGGATAGTGTTGGACTTTATTTTTAATTATTGGGCAGATTGTTGGAACCATGCCACAGACACTGCATGTTAGATTGTTTTACAGGTAAATTTACATGTAGTTTGCCCTTATCCCAAATATCCCAACCGTTTTTTGAGAAGTAAATAACAGGTGTATTTTATCACAAGCATCCCTGATTAATTTTTAATAGCTACACCAAAAAAAAAAAAAAATCTTTCTTGATGTAATTTTACTTGATTTCAAATATGAAGACGTAAGTACCTCGCTAACTAAAGCTACTTTTAGTACTCTTCAAATAAGTAAATTGTTCCAGGTATTCAATATAATTTCACTTATATCTTTGCAACAAGCATTCCAGGTAATTTCACAAGGAGATCAAGATTTGTTGTAAGATTTATAGTTGTATCTGGCAGGCCGCCATGGTTCATCATCCACCAGTGGGAGAATGGCAGATGACCTATGAATGATCTCCACTCAGGTGCCGAGTAGGTAGAATGAACAAGTTGGGGTAAGTGTTAGCCAGACAACTCAGAGTTACAACCTGTACCCCGGCTTAACTGTTTGATTGGGTTGACTTTATTGATCATGAAATTGATAGATGATGCACTTTTCGGAATCTTAATGTTTGTTTCCATCCTAAACTGGAGCTGGGCAAGAAATGCCGATCTTCTTACCGGGGCAAGTCTGTCTGTGATGTGGTCAATACAATGTACGTAATGCTGCTCAATGGGTTTTTGTACAGTTGTTTTACTGGCATTAATCTGTGAAGTTTGACAGAACAGAGCTATCGCATTTGCCCATACTCAGTTTGTTTGCGGGTGTCTGAGAAATCTATTGGCAAATAGCTGAAAGCATTTTTAGTATCAATTTATGGTTTTGTTGAGTTGAAGACCAAGGGCTTTGCAACATCTTCCCTACATAGAAGATATTGATAGCTGCCGCCGAGTATTGATAGTGTGATGTATGCTGTACATAAGATAACCAAACTGTAACTGTAACGATCTTCAACTAACCCGCCAGAAGATTTGCACTCCTGGAAAGCTTAAACTGCCACTGGGATGCTACATTAAAATCAATGACTACCAAAAGGAGATTGTCACCATAGAAACTAGTGTACATTTTAAAGGATAATTTTATCAGGAGCGATCAATGCCCAAGTGGATGCCAGTTTGAATGACATGCTTTTCTGTTTCAGCCCGCAATGTGGTGGAGGCAATGTCAACCAGGCTGTGGGCTCGTATTCCTTGTCCTGACTTTACTTTCAGCAGACGACACAGAGTCAGCAGGTAATGATAGAATTGATAAGACGTTAAAGAGTGGCTAGGTTCTGATATTTTGTTTTAAAGGTTTAACTTATAAATGTTTTTTTTTTTTTTTTGATAATAAAATGGTTTTCATATATACTATCACCAGTTTCTGTGTATAACTTTTTAGGAAGACAATTGTGTGGAATTGAAAGCATTCTCACAAATATATGTACTTGAGATCTAAGCAAGTCAGGCAAGCAAATACATGTATCTATAGATGTAGGTTGTGCTATGATAATGGTTGAGGAGAACTTTGCTGGTGACTGGTGTTTTCCTAATTGTCACATACTTTTTTGTGTAACTCATAAAATTCAAGAATTTGAATGGAGTAGTTATTTATAAATAAGTATTTATATGTGTAATACATGAAGTCCTTTCTTAGTTTGGTAGTTTGGTGCAAACTGCACAATCAATTCACAAGGATTCATTTTTGCTTTAGGTGGTTTTGACTTAATTTGGCACTAAAAGCAAAATTGCCTTGATAAGCTGGCTGGCACCATTAGTTTGATACTTATAGTAACAGTGGAATCCTTTAAATGCATAAGAGGATTCACATGCTTGTAGCTTATGTAGCAGGTGACATATATTAGATTGAATAAAGAGAAAATTAAGTGCCATAAGATGTTCTGAATCTTGAGTAGAGAGCATTTTTGTGGCCAATGGTAGATTGACGTTGGTACGTTTTTTAATCGATGTACCAAGTTTGACTGTAAATTAAAGTACAATATATCTAGGTTATAGATAGATTTTCAAAAGAAAAAAAAAACAGATATTTTAATTTTTTATCGACTTATGAAGTTAGATGGAAAAATAGATGTAACTTGACATTTTTCTCAAAAGTGAACATGAAAACAAAAGGCAACTTATGGACATGTGCAAAACAGTAACAGAATGATTAAAGGGATAATAACTCTTCGTTTCGGCCAAAAAATGAATTTTGTTGGAGTAAACAAAAATTTCCCCATACTTACCAATGGTTAATGAATCCATTTTCACATTCAAAGTTAGTCCCTGGTTTTTTGTTAAAATCTCTTAAGAGATTTTAACAGAGAATAGCCATCAATGGAGGTCACGTGATCTAAAGACAAGCTCAGGTATCAGAATAATAGCTATAACTACCATTTTTTGTGGTAAAACAGAATATATTTTATTTCTATGAGTTATTCACAATGTTTTTATTGTGAAATATAGATCTCATATGAAGAGTTATTATCCCTTTAAGAACAGTGATGTACTCTCAGAAAAAGCTTTTGTGCATAACTTTTACTCATATGACACCCCATTACACCCTGTCTATTTTTCTCTCTTAGTGATTTTTCTAAGGCATTTTAGTCATCAACTTTTTCCTCTTTGCTCCCTATTGGGAACACTGGTTAGGTTTAGTCTTAATGAGAAAACAGTCCATTAACACTAAATGGTTAATGACTTCTCCAATAACACATACCCAGGAGAGAAATCAAGGGAAAGTAATCTCAGATTCAATTCTATGAAATGTCATATAAATGTTTTAAAAGAATGTCACTTGTTGGTAATTTTTGATTAAAAGAAAACAATAATTTTATTGTTTCATATCTGAAAAGTTTCATACAAATATTGTTCAATATTTACTTCTTTGCATGTATTTATTTATGATGACCTAGCAAGGAGCACCAGTGTTACACCTAAACACAGCAATATAAAAGCAGGTGATCTATTCACACATGGATAGTAATATTTCTACTTATCAGCACTAGAGCTATGACCATTGGTTTGATTTAGTGTCTCGTATATCCTGACTGGGATTCCTACTCATGTGTTCAGTTCTCAGCATTATGCATCTTCAGGAAATTTTAGCACGTATTTACTGGCTGTAATTAAGCTCACAGACGTATTCAGACTCCACCCTGGTGTATTAGGCTTTGTGGGTTATGTAAAAAATCGTCTTGGGTTCAAGCTAAGCTTTCTGCTGAAGACTAACAAAATATTGGCAGTTACCTTCTCTTTGAGAGACTTATGTGATCAGGTGTTTGGTTCTCAGTTTCTTTCATTATGATTCATAGATCGGTAATTTAGAGCAGTTGAAATATTGTTATTAGGTAAAAAGACTTTGAATTATTGAGACTGGAAAATAATATACTTCAGTGTATTCGGTATCAGTGAAAAGGAAACAGTAGTATCTGATAAATGGCTATGTTTTGATGTGAAAGTGATGCACTTAGACTTTTGACAAATGGACTTTTAAAAACACTTTTTGAAATTATATAAGTTAAGTTTGCAGAAAAGCTAATTGGCAAATGGTTTTCTTTATTATTATTATTATACATTATTGTACCACCAGCGTTAGCGCTGGCGGTACACATGGTTTCGGTCTCNGTTTTTTTTAATTTTTTGATAATAAAATGGTTTTCTCTATATACTATCACCAGTTTCTGTGTATAACTTTTTAGGAAGACAATTGTGTGTAATTGAAAGCATTCTCACAAATATATGTACTTGAGATCTAAGCAAGTCAGGCAAGCAAATACATGTATCTATAGATGTAGGTTGTGCTATGATAATGGTTGAGGAGAACTTTGCTGGTGACTGGTGTTTTCCTAATTGTCACATACTTTTTTGTGTAACTCATAAAATTCAAAAATTTGAATGGAGTAGTTATTTATAAATAAGTATTTATATGTGTAATACATGAAGTCCTTTCTCAGTTTGGTAGTTTGGTGCAAACTGCACAATCAATTCACAAGGATTCATTTTTGCTTTAGGTGGTTTTGACTTAATTTGGCACTAAAAGCAAAATTGCCTTGATAAGCTGGCTGGCACCATCAGTTTGATACTTATAGTAACAGTGGAATCCTTTAAATGCATAAGAGGATTCACATGCTTGTAGCTTATGTAGCAGGTGACATATATTAGATTGAACTAAAAATGAATCTTGAGTAGAGAGCATTTTTGTGGCCAATGGTAGATTGACGTTGGTACGTTTTTTAATCGATGTACCAAGTTTGACTGTAAATTAAAGTACAATATATCTAGGTTATAGATAGATTTTCAAAAGCAAAAAAACCCAGATATTTTAATTTTTTATCGACTTATGAAGTTAGATGGAAAAATAGATGTAACTTGACATTTTTCTCAAAAGTGAACATGAAAACAAAAGGCAACTTATGGACATGTGCAAAACAGTAACAGAATGATTAAAGGGATAATAACTCTTCGTTTCAGCCAAAAAATGAATTTTCCTGGAGTAAACAAAAATTTCCCCATACTTACCAATGGTTAATGAATCCATTTTCACATTCAAAGTTAGTCCCTGGTTTTTTGTTAAAATCTCTTAAGAGATTTTAACAGAGTATAGCCATCAATGGAGGTCACGTGATCTAAAGACAAGCTCAGGTATCAGAATAATAGCTATAAGTTTAACTACCATTTTTTGTGGTAAAACAGAATATATTTTATTTCTATGAGTTATTCACAATGTTTTTATTGTGAAATATAGATCTCATATGAAGAGTTATTATCCCTTTAAGAACAGTGATGTACTCTCAGAAAAAGCTTTTGTGCATAACTTTTACTCATATGACACCCCATTACACCCTGTCTATTTTTCTCTCTTAGTGATTTTTCTAAGGCATTTTAGTCATCAACTTTTTCCTCTTTGCTCCCTATTGGGAACACTGGTTAGGTTTAGTCTTAATGAGAAAACAGTCCATTAACACTAAATGGTTAATGACTTCTCCAATAACACATACCCAGGAGAGAAATCAAGGGAAAGTAATCTCAGATTCAATTCTATGAAATGTCATATAAATGTTTTAAAAGAATGTCACTTGTTGGTAATTTTTGATTAAAAGAAAACAATAAATTTATTGTTTCATATCTGAAAAGTTTATTGTATTTATTTATGATGACCTAGCAAGGAGCACCAGTGTTACACCTAAACACAGCAATATAAAAGCAGGTGATCTATTCACACATGGATAGTAATATTTCTACTTATCAGCACTAGAGCTATGACCATTGGTTTGATTTAGTGTCTCGTATATCCTGACTGGGATTCCTACTCATGTGTTCAGTTCTCAGCATTATGCATCTTCAGGAAGTTTTAGCACGTATTTACTGGCTGTAATTAAGCTCACAGACGTATTCAGACTCCACCCTGGTGTATTAGGCTTTGTGGGTTATGTAAAAAAATCGTCTTGGGTTCAAGCTAAGCTTTCTGCTGAAGACTAACAAAATATTGGCAGTTACCTTCTCTTTGAGAGACTTATGTGATCAGGTGTTTGGTTCTCAGTTTCTTTCATTATGATTCATAGATCGGTAATTTAGAGCAGTTGAAATATTGTTATTAGGTAAAAAGACTTTGAATTATTGAGACTGGAAAATAATATACTTCAGTGTATTCGGTATCAGTGAAAAGGAAACAGTAGTATCTGATAAATGGCTATGTTTTGATGTGAAAGTGATGCACTTAGACTTTTGACAAATGGACTTTTAAAACACTTCTTGAAATAATATCAGTCAAGTTTGCAGAAAAGCTAATTGGCAAATGGTTTCTTTATTTATTTTACATTATTTTTTATCATATATTATGCCCAGAGAGAAAGCTTACCCTCTTCATGGGTCACATTCTAAGTAGCCAGCAAATGAAAAAATCATTACTGATGGCAGCAGCATATGGACCTCAAGGACACGGCAGACCTAAGACATGACACAACTATGATCTGACAGACCTCTGTGGGTCCATGGTTTAAGTGGACAGAATGGCTCAAAAATGTGACCAGTGGAGAGTTTTTGTGAGGGGACAATAGCTGGTTGGCACTGACCTAACCATGCATTCTTATTAATACAAAAACAGCTGTAAGATTAAGCCAAATTAAGTTTTTTTAGTGTCAAAACAATGATGAATTGCCAAAAACATCTTACAGATTTTACATTTTCTCTTGAAAGCCACATTAAATTATTTCTAGTATTTGATAAAAATGTGTATGCTGCTGAGAGAATTCGAAGCTATTGGTATAGCATGTATCACTTCATCATTTGATCTTCAAAGAAAGATTCTGTAGAATCCAATTACAAAAAGATTTCTCCAGATTGAAAACAAGTTGATTTATCTGGAGACCACTTGGAACTTATCGACTGCCTCAATTTTTTCTGGCCATTGAACTGAATTTTGTTGTCTTCATTTGTATTGAGGGGTGGTGGTGGTCACAGTACCAGTATTTGTTTGTCTGTGTGTTTGTGTGGGTTGTTTGTGTGGGTGTTGTATGTTCATGTGTATGCATGCATGCACGTGTGTATGTTTATGCAGAGGTTGTGCTCATGTTAATAAGAAGTATGAAAAGCAGATGGTTGACCAGTCGGGATGAAGAGGCAGATCATATAAAAACTTTCTGAGTCAGTGGGTGTTATATTTAGCTTAAGGGAAGACAAATTTATCAGTTGCTGTTATAATGAAACTTAATGAAGTTGGAAGAGGGAATGGATTGTAGGTCTTGTTTCAGCTAGGACAATAATATGGCATTTGTCTGGGTTAGATTTGTCAGAAGGTCATCTATTGAATTTCACTTAAATAATAATAATAATAATAATAATAATAATAATAATAAAATTATTATTATTATCTAATATTCATCTTTTTCAGTATTCAAATTTCTGATATACAAAATACTGATGGAGCTCTTAATAGTGATATGTATATACATATTGACTCCCAGTTGAAACTGGTAGTTGGACAAATGTCGAACAGAGAAATAGACTTAAATGTACTACTGAAAAACTGGGCAATGAATTTAACTACTCATTACAGTGTCCAAATCTTACTGAAGAATGCTATGTCGGTTTGGGTAAAATTTATAGCAAACATATAATATCCTGAATTTTAAGGCAGCAATAAGTATCACAGATGTGAAAAAAATGAAGAACTTTTGTAGACGACTTAGAGTCATATGTACTGAAACTGTAGAGTAATAACTAGCAAAATTAATTAGCAATGCTTGTATATATTTTTATACTCTTCTATGTGCCAGGAATATGGACGAGAAAAAATAAATGAATCAAATTGAAATGAATATCTGCTTGTTGGTTGAGTAGGAGATATAATCTTTTCCAGTAAAGATCATAATTACTAGCTAGGTATTAGTGGAAGATTAGTAAAAACTCTCTCTCTCTCAAGCATCTTTGTGCATGACTATGAATTCATTGCACTTTGTTACAGCAGCTGGTGTATAAAATTGTGTATTGGCATGGATCATTATTGCTAACAAGATTTGTGCTTTCATGAGGCTATGAAATCTTGATCAAATTATCCAATCAGCTTCTCTCACTGATTGAATTGATCACAGGACGAGTCCTAATCCGGCCTGTCAGCTTGTCCCTAGGGAAGAATTCTGCATGTTAGGTAGTAATTTGTAAAGTAAAGAGAAAGGAATGTATAACTGGCATATGAAGGACTTTTGCTAATGGACAAGTGTGAACTCACTGATGTACTTCTGCTTGTTAAACTCATATTTGATAAAAGAAATTTGTAAAAATAAGCAATTAAAGTTTAAATTGCAAATTGACGTACAGTTATGACATAGATGCAGGTGTAAATGAATGTTTTACATGAGTTGCAATAACCAAATGGATTTTAAATTAAGTTAGTATAGCCTATACTTAAAAGCACTAAGTTTATGAAATTGACAAACAATTTTTTAGGAGTAAGAGTAAACTTTAACTTTAATAAATTCTATATCAGTAAATATCAAAATCGAATAAATAATTATGTCCATGGCTGATTTCGATGTACCTATTCAGAGTGATCCAAAAAGAACAATGTTTTTTTATGTTGACCCTATGCTATATTGAGGCTGTGATATTTTGATGTTGAGGTGAGGGTCAGGTAAAGGAGCACTGGCATCTCACCTGAGATAGCTTGGATGTTACTGTTGATAGGGAACATTCTTCACAGTTACCACAATTTATGCCCACCTGCCATATTTAGGGGCATCAGACACCTTACCCAGCTCTTATTTTAATTGACAACTTTGATACAGCTAGCCCAGTGTTACAATTGTTTAGATTTGTTTTCGTGTGTTTTTGATTCACAAAGGAAATGAGAGCTTATAAGACTTTGAAGGACCCTTCCCCTAGGAATAATTTCAAGGCTTTGGGCATAGGTTTCTTCAGCTGAAGGTCTGATAATTTACACATTTAAGATTTCACTTGTTTTTCATCCACCACTCCTTTCATCCATTTTCTTTTATATTTCTATTAATTAATATTGTTATGTTCGCTTGTTTGTCTAGTTATCTGTTAATATTCAATTATATAATTTTTTTCACTTAACCCAGAAGAGGAAGAATTGAATGGCTTGAAAAGTGTGACTTTAGGCTCATAAAATTGATAGCTTCCCCATTTATTATTATCAATCATTTCCCCAACATTTTCTATATATAGATGACAATATTTTTCTATGTTCCATACATTTTTTCAGATTGTAACAGGGTCTTCCAGAGTACAGCAGATGGGCCCAAAAATGGCACCTTCACCTCTCCCAACTGGCCAGAAAGCTACCAAAACAACTTGTGCTGCATCTATAAGTTTATCGGCATTGGACAGGAACGAGTCCAGCTGACATTTGATCAATTTGATATCCAGGGCATCCCACCAAAGTAAGACTCTCAGAAAATAGAATTTCTGTAAAAACATTGATTTCCGTCATTTTCCTCCATGCTAAGCTTAATAAGTACTAGTCATTTTCAGTATAGTGCAGCAACTGACTTAGGGACTCTGGTGAACATTGCAGCATTTGTGTTATCTTAGGCACGCGTAGGTTTCTTGTCTGATATTTGGCGTCTATCTGCAGTTGAAGGGAAGATGATGAAGAGCATTTTTCAGCACTTAGCTGCAGTGTGTTTAATGGCTTTATCCAGTGCATTATGACAAGGCACCTGTCTGTGGTATCATATAAGTCTGCATGCACTATTCACTTTTTGTTTCCACACCAGTTAATAGCTAATGGATTGATTCTCCTGACCTCTCTTAAGCAAGGTTACTTTAGATTAAACTTTTGGGGGTATGTGCCTAACATGAGAACTTGTGCTGCGCATGGAATTTTTTTTATTGCCTCACAAATTTAAAGGTGAATTTGATAATGAAATGAAAAGTTAATTGAAACTGAATTACCGAAGCATATTTGGCTGGAAGTAGTGCCAGATACCATATTTCACCAGTGCTCAGGCAGTCTGCATTTCAATGTTAATTATTTGATTTTGGTTTTGAAAGTAATATTCTGTTTTTTTCTTCATAATTTTAAATTGTATAATGGGGTTAGAAAGTACCAGTTATATCATTTTACAGATTTTTGTTTACTATGGATTTATAAAAATAAATTAGTTTCTGAATTAATTTGATATTGAATTTAGATTTTTTCACAATATAGTCATTAAAAAAAAGAAAGATTTTGTTGTGCTGAAAATAGTGAATAGTCTGAATAAAACTCAATTTATTTCTTTGATAAAAACAGTCATTTGTGAATTGCTTTTCCCTCTTGTATTAATGTGTCTGGCATTATGATAAATGAAGCACTAAATACAGAGCAGCTCTGCCCTCTTTTTACAAATGCTGCAAACTCGGCAGATAATTAGAAGGGGAAATGGAAGATGATTAAAAATGAAATGAAACAATACAGATTTGGCACAATTCTTTTATATCCAAATAATGGCAAAAATATATTGTTTACTATAAAAAAGAAGTGTTCTCAATGTCTAAAATTAATTTTGTCAGTGATAAAGAATAATTCTGTTTATTACATATATTGTTATCTATGTAAAGAGGATCAACAATAAAGAATATATTCTGTATATTACATATATTGTTAATTATATAAAGAGGATCGATGTATAAAAAAGAGAAAGAAATGACTCCAAAAGCATCTTTTGATTATCAACTGAAATCCTTGCATTACGATGATATATTTATGTATGTATATATTTGCATTTTTCCACAGATGTCAACATGACTATGTAGATCTGTTTATCAGAGCAGAGCATCCAGACGTTAATCTTCTAGACACACCATTCCTGGGACGCTACTGTGGGTCTTCTGCCCAGGTGTTGCCTGGCAACTTGGTATCCATGGGACAGATCTTCATCCTCATGCTCAATACAGATGCAGCCAAGGCAGGCAAGGGGTTCCTTGGAACATATCATTTTCTTAATTCATGTATGTATTTCAATGTATTTCACTCTATAGTGAATGTATATGTAATTTTTGAAGAAAGATAATATTTTTAAAGGATAATCATAAGATAGCCTTACTTTATTTCAGTTTATTTGGTTGCATTTTATTAATTGATACTTAAATGATTTTTAGAATTTTAGAATTGTAAAACCATTTTTTTTGTCTCGTTGTTTTAATGAAAAAAATTGCTGCTTTGACTTAATATTACTCGGTAACCATTCTATTTTAACTAAAAATAGGTGAAAAGGATCTAAGAATCTACAACTCCTCTATAAATATACAGTTTACCATTTTTTAATGAAGGTATATATCTTTTGTAGTCACATATTTCACATTTCAGAATCATGGTTCACATTTCAGCTCTTTATGACATGGGCACTCCAGCTCCACAACCAGTGTGTGGCTATAATATAGATGGGTTGAACAGACCTAAGGGTATTATAGCTGCCCCCACGTACCCAGGTATCTACCCTGATCACCTCTTCTGCTTTTACAAACTCCAGGGAGTTCAGGGACAGAGGATTCGCCTGCACTTCTTAGACTTTGATGTGTATGAGGGTGGACTTCAGTGAGTATATATAAGTGTGTGCAAATGGAATCATTTATATTGTTCAGAGGAATGTGGCTGAGAGTTTGGTTTAATTAACAAATAGTGTTGTCATCAAATATTGTTGGTATTTACAGGAATAATATATAAGGAAGCTGTAACAAAAGCAAATTTTCCACTTTAAATTTTTTATTGAAAAAAAAAAAGACTTCTCCTACTTGAATGTAATCAGAAAGGAATGTTAACCTGCTTGAGAGTTCACCAAAGGCTTTGCATCTATTTCATCCCCAGCTGTCCCATAGACCATGTGAAGGTCTATGATGGTTACACGAACCAGGACCTTTTGATTGGTACTTTTTGTGGCAGTGTCATGAAAGACCGGGTCCTCTACTCCACAGGACCGGCACTACACATCGAGTTTGTCACCAGAAGTGGGCGTGTCCCTCCCACCGACTCCTCCTACCTGCCATACTGGGAACTGGAGGAGTCGTCCCGGTTTCAACAGAAAGGCTTCAAGGCTGAATATGAGTTTAGCGATAAATTTGTTAATCTAGGTAATGGCTGGTTTGTTGCTAAATGATGTTCTTAATGATGGCGCCTGAATAGTTTGCTGATAGCGTTAGTGGCTTTGTAGAAAAAGACTTGAAATCAATTGCCGTCCTGAACTGTGACATGTCAGCTATTGATTTTTGTTGCCTCAGTGTCTGGTGGAGACTAAAAACATTTTAACTGAAGGAAAATTGATAAAAGAAAAAAATCCAATGCTTGTCATATTTTTTTGAATGCCATGAAATTATATCCAGAATTTTTTTTCTCCATATGACCTTTCCATTTTCGAAATCAAAATAAGGTGTAGTACAATCATTTATTGTTAGGTAAAATAAGAACAAAAAAAAAAAAAAAAAACAAAAAAACTAGACCTAAGGTAGGTGTTTTAGCTGCATGGAATGTGAAGTATAAGCTGTAGTAATTAACATTCCTGACAGGGCAATGGTGTTTACTGTGGTGGTTCATGTAACTTGCTCTGATATCACTGATGGATTCTTTCTAGTTACATCAAAGTTAAAGCTTTGCCTTTTTTTCTTTCAGATTTCATTAAACCTCCTGCAATGCACTACCCAGGCACAGGTAAATGTTGATATATATATATATATATATATATATATATACATATGTATATATACAATTTTATTCTGGGCAGCTCTCACTGCTTCTGTCCAGTCAGTCCCCTGATGTTTCTCTTAATTGTGTACAGAACAAGCATTCCGTGACATGTTTAACCCACAGAGAAACCCTTTACAGTGACTTATATCTATTGGTACATTCCTTACAGACACATTAAAATTAAGGGATTCCTAAATTTAAAAAAGAAGAAAAGAAAAAAACTTTCAAACACACTGTGACACCTTATATGGTTGTGACAACTAAAATGAATTTTAGTTATATGAAAATGTAAAGATGATTAAAAATATATTAATAATATTTTTTGAAGTTTTTCATCTTAAATAAAATTTATATCTTTATTCAAACTCATTAAATATGGGTTGCTTTGTGGAATGACTTTGGTGTTATATGCTTCCAGAATGTGACCAGGTCATCAGGAGCTCGGGACAAAGCAATGGCACTGTGACATCTCCATACTTCCCCAAGTCTTACCCCATCAATGTCACCTGCTACTTCTACATTGATGGCCTTGAGGATGACAAAGATCTTGAAAAAGTGCGCCTGACATTTAACAATTTCTACATTCCATCTAGGTCCACAGAGAGGTGAAGATACACATCATAGTATTTGATTCTGACTTGAAAATTGTAGTCTGCGGTTGTTATCAGATCCTGATTTTGATGTGTTTGAGGGGCTTGTTACAAATTAAGGGCCTCAGAATCTTCCTTGTTGTTCATCAAATATAACTTGTGCTTATGCTTTAGAAGAATTTGATCAAAATTAAACAGACACCAAGCAGATTTAATACCCATAGTGCTTAGAGAGATCACAGATCTGCAGAATCATGAACTATATGGTAGCTGTTAGTATCTGATATGTTATGTTAGTACATACATGCTGTATAGAGGGGAACAGTTTTAATCTGTAATCTCTGAAGCACAACTGCATATTCTAAAGATATTCTTTCAGATGCACCGATGGTTTCCTTGCTGTATACCTGCAAGGCAGACTGCCAGTGGATGGAAGAACAGACGATGCTGATGCAATCTACTGTGGTAGGGTACCAGACTCCCCAATCGTTTCTTCACACCCAAGAATGTTCCTGGTATTTGACTCTCACCATGCAGGCATTGCAGGCAGTGGCTTCAAGGCAACTTATGAATTCCTCACAGGTATGTCATGGGAAGCAGCACACATTGTACCTGCAGCTATGTTATTAAAGATGTGAAGGAATATGTAAGCAACATAACCTCAATCAATTTCAGCTTACTTTAATTTAGTAACCTGGAAAATATTTGCCAGTCTTGTACATATTTTAGTTATGATTGGAAAATATCCTGAAAACAGCTGTCTTTTGGAAATATTTGCAGCAGATTGTGTTGGCATTGACATTCCTATGAGCTTTACTCTGTTCACGATGAAACTATGACATGCAGATATTTTTGACTTTTATTTAAGTACACGTCACTTGTTTTTCTTTTAACTGGGTGAATGTTTATACTTAAGTAAGGAATGCATTTAATCTTAAGAGTGGTCATTGTTAGATGTCTGATTACCACAGAGGACATGGAAACATCATGCATCATTTTAGCTTAAACATTGTTTTATAGCACACCTATAACACCTCTTATTTAACACATTGACCTTCCAGCACACTAACACACTGCACTATACAACACATTGTCTTCATAGCACACCTAGCTATGCCCTGTATAAAACATTGTCATCCATCATACCGAACACACTGCCCTATATAACAGTACATCTAATTCATTGATCTGTATAACACATTGTATTCCTAACACACCTAACTGTCTGCACAGTATAAGACATTGTGTTCCAAGCACACCTAACACACTGTCCTGTGTAACACATTGTCTTCCTAGCACACCTAACACACTGCCTAGTATTACACGTTGTCTTCCTAGCACATGTAACACACTGCCCTGTAAAACACATAATCTTACTAGCACACCTTCCATATTTCTCCAACGTAGTACATTGCCATTTAGCCCAACTAACACACTCCCTTGTATAATGCGATACCACTTAAAACATTGTAGTGCTCCACTGACTATGGTCTTCTGTTTCTATTCCAGACTATGCTGTGCCTGGTACGCCAATGTCAGAGGAAGGCTGTAGATTCCAATATAACACACATTCACAGAAATCTGGAACATTCACGTCGCCTCGTTATCCCAGGAAATACCCTCCAAACATGCAGTGCATCTATATATTCCGAGGACTAAGAAATGAACAAATAAGGATCTCATTTGACAAGTTTTTATTAAAGGCAAGCGACGGAGTATCAAACACTGAGTAAGCAAAATTTAAGACAATTATAATGTTGGTTTGCAAGGAAAATTTTATTTCCTGTGACAGAACTTTTATTAATTTTTTGATGTCATGTAAAGGACTTGAATTCACACTTCTTTAACTTATACATATGGTCATTTTCCAGTTTGACAATTTTAATTTAAAAGTACCACACAATTTCAACTTAAAAGTTCCACACACCACTTTTGACTTAGTAAGTGTGCAAGCACATTATGATTTTCCAGATGCCCAGAGGATAAAGTGATTATCTATGAAATTACCTATGACCGTGACACGGGGAATGAGACCCTAACTAACATTGGAGTATATTGTAAAGCTATCATACCAGGCCCTATTCTGTCACCCAGAGGAATAAACAACATGATGGTAGAATTCCAGTCAGATTTTGAAGGTGTTGCTGGGGGGTTTCAAGGAAAATATGAATTCTTGGAACTCACGGACCCAAGTAAGAGCTGGCATCTGTCAATTAATACTTACTATATATAGAAGTTATATTAGTAATAAGTTGTTTTTTATTTCAAGAATTATGTAAGGTTGTACTTTTTCTTCAGTTTCATATTTTCTTATAGTTTTTTCAGTGATTTTTATACATGGTATAATATATTTTACTTTCATTTTCTTATTTTCTAATATTTCAAAAAAGTCACTCATACTTCCAGCCTGTGGTGGCAACCTAACCTCAGATGAACATGGCGGGGGTGTCATCACAAGTCCTAACTATCCTGCCAACTACAAGAAGGACACAGGATGTATATGGCATATTCAGCTCAGAGATCCTCAGAGCAAAGTTCTCCTACATCTACAAAAGTTTGCCATGGAAGGCAGCCCATCTGCGTGAGTAGTGGCAAAGTGTGAATTATCTTTGTAGTATAATAATAATAATAATAATAATAATGATAAAAGCAGCCACTCCCCTGTGATTATTATTATTATTATTATTATTATGGAAAATCTTATACAGGTATGAATACCTTACCTGTTCGGGATCAAAGGGTTGACTGAAACATATAGTACAGAACATAAAAGATCATGTAATTCCCAGTATGCAATGTTATAAATCATCAGTATTATCTCACACTTACAGCGGGTGTTCAGCAGCTGTTCTCAGAATATACAAAGGTGGTGGCAGTCAACCCGAGGAACTGTGCGGTACAGATCTCAAGCCAGAGACCAAGATGATTATATCAGCTCAAAACAATATTACTTTAAAGTATGTACTTTTGATGAAAAGGCAAGGGTTCATGGTAAAAAGAGTGTTTCATTTAAATGATACATGATGTCAATAAATGGCAAAATATTTATATTAGATCGAAGAAAAAATGTATTTTTGTTTTGATTTTTTAAAATTAAGGTTTTGATTTATTCTTTGGTTATTTTTCCTATAGATTTACTACTTCAAGCAGTGCTATTGGAAATGGTGGATTCTTCATAGCATGGGCAGAGATTATACCTGAAGTCTATCTTGGTAAATTAAGTCCTTACCTGAAGACTCAATATTTATTCAATTTTTTATTACAAAAAAAAGTTTCATCCACACAGGTTTCTTTCCCCCCACCCTCCCCCAGTAAAGTGTATTTTATATAAAAATAATTATTGCCTGAGATATTGATTAATAAACCTGGATCAATTATTGAAACATAGATTAAACAATAAGTCACTTAAATTTACTTGAATTGATTAATTAGTCAGTTGTTATATTTCACAAAAGCCCACATATGTGTGTTGTTACATTTAGGGTATTGCAGTGGTTTCAAGTGTCATGCTAACCAGTATTGCATCCCCAGGAATTTGGTGTGTGACAAGGTGACACATTGTGGAGAAGGGGACACCTCAGATGAAGGGATATCATGTGAGAAACTGTCACACTTAACACAATGGTGCAGGAACACCTGTCACAATTTCTTATTCGAATATCAGATCACTTAGTAGATACACCACTATGTCAAAACTAACTCTTATGGACCCCTGGCATACTACATATTTCACAGCAAAGGAAAGAATCACACACTAGCACACTGGAACACTAAACTCACTGAATGGACTGAAGCAAACAACAAAGGTCATGGCTTAGACTTAATTATTACCTCAACTAACACACTGGTACACTCAACTGTTACATTTGTTAACTTTACACAATATTGCCCATCCAACACATTTACTGAACATTTACATTTGAATATGTCACTTGTGAAAAGACAACGTACTGTGTAAATCATGCTTTCATTGGAAGTATTTTGTTTTTTATCTTATTTAGTTCCTTGTCCATGTGGTCATAAGCTTAATAACGAATCAATGTGTCTCCATTAAAGTCTACATTAAATTGTCATCATTGTAATGGACATAGTGATTTTTTTTCGAGAAGGCTTGCAAACAGTCAAGGAGAAATTGTTTAAAAATTGAAGGATTTAGCTGGATTCAATATTTATATTGCTTGAATCACAGCATTGATTTTTTAATTTTTAACTAGCCCAAACAGAAAAAAATTCCTGTCAGACATTTCTTGTTGAATAAATGTTTCTCTCTAAAATCCAATGGCTATTCAGCTACCCCTTTACCTTTATATAACAATTTTTCCAGCCATCCACTATTGAAAGCATTTAAGAATAAATGAACTGGTATGGAATTTTAAAAAAAGCTGGCTGATTGCAAGCAAAATATTATTTTTGTTGCTTATTGTAAATGCATTGTGTTTTCTTCATTTTATGTCATAGGTGATGCCCGTAGACTTATTTCATTTCTCTCTTGGTTTTTGTTCTGGATTCCATTTGTTCACACAGTATTTAGAACTGTAGGTGCAGTTAGTTGAAGTTTCCCACTGTCTGCACTTGTAGAACAAAAAAGTAAGTGCCCTATCACATTTAAGATTCACTGCACTGAGAATGATAAGAAAAATAAAGTAATATTCATTTAAAGTAGATTTTACTCACTGTATGACAAGCACCGACTCTCACCTTTATGTCATAAATATTACTGAAGCATGCATGTATAGCCTTAAAATAAAAGTTACTGCTGCTTTTTCCCTTGAATAGATGTGCTACATGTGTCCGTATATTATGATATACATGCACATAAAACGTGTCTATTTTAGACAAAGATAATAGTCTTTATGGACAGAATATGCTGCATTAGATTTTCAGATCAGATTTTTTCAATATAATTCTTTTTCTGGCATTTTTTCTATAGGAGGATAAAATGTGCTGCCTAAAATAAAAAAAAAAACTTTTGTGTTTTTTTTTTGCATTTATTTATAGATCAGGGCCATAACAGAGGAATATTGTCAAGTTTAGACAATTTACAATTTTCACTCTCATTTTGATATTGCTTAATCCTGCTGTATGAAAAGTAGACAAGTAGGCAGCATTTTTAATCAGCAAATTTGACATTTTTCATGGGTTTGGTGCAATTGATTTGTTATTGTATCAGTGCCAAGACATTCATGATTCATCAATTTTGAGATCAACTTGAAAGTCATTCATCACTTATCTGGATGAAGAGGACGTAATTTGGCCCATAGAACACATCAAGAATTTGGCATCAATCTTTGCTCTCCAGTAATTGCCTCCTATTGATTACTGTCAGTGTGCCCATTTCATTGTCATTTGAGTCATATGTACATTCTGACCATCTGTAGATTAAATTTGTGTAGTCTCTATGTGCCCTTAAGGAGTTTTAGAAAGACAAGAGGCACATATGCGTTCAGTATAAGTTTATTTTATTTCACCAAAAGTTATATAGATTTAAAAACTCCAAGTACTGATGTGTACAAATTTTTTAAAAGTTGAGATAAATTATATAAAATGTTTTTCTTAATTTGTTATACATGTAGGTCAAAAACAATAGGTAATAGCATGGTGCTTCATTTATGTGCACACACATATACTGGCAGATGTCATATGTCTTTTTTTTTTTTTACTTTTTTTTTTTGGAGGGGGGGGGGAGGACAGACCTTGAAAGAAAATTATTATACTTAAGAGGAGAAGCTTTAAACTGCAACAAATGCAGTACTGGAGATTTGTCACTTTTCTTTTAAAATTATTCACTTTTGTGTGAGTTTTGTAGTGAATTTTTTCATACTGGTACATATTTTATTTCAAAATTTTGTTTGGCATATTTTCATGTCACTTAATTTTTTTCATGTAGTACACATAAGTTGGATTGAAATTTTGAGAAATATCAACTTTTTGCAGGTCCTTCTACCAAGAAGATGAATGTTGTTCATGTGATCCTTGGGTTGATCTTAACTGCGGTGCTGTTGCTTTTGATTGGTGTCTGTGTGTTTAGACGACGCAGGAAGAAATCACGTGACAAAAAACAGGACTTGGAGCAAGAAGTTCATTTTATTCGAGGCAGCACGGTAGATGATGAAAATCTCTTTACACAGCCAAATCATTCGCAAGATACCAATCCTAAAGTTTCCACAGTGTGACAGTTGAACTTGAAGTAGCCTGACATAAAAATTATAAGAGCATAATGCAAATGATCCTCTGTGGTGACGTATGAGTATTGTCTGGCACAATATGTTGTTTGCATGGAGATGCAGGAAAGAGCAAGAACACACATGCCTTGCTCGAGTTGTTGGATTGGTATAAATTGTCTATGCAGGTCTGACTTTACTGGGAAAGTTGCAGACAGAACTGTGAACAATTATTTCTTGGAGAAGGTTCTAATATTGAGATTGTGAACCATTTCTCACTGTATATAGATCAGTCTTATGATTATTGGTGCATCTCGTTGGATTGGCTTAAAGTCATGAATTAAGTGTACGAATGGTGAGATGACATTGTTTTTTTACATCTCTGGGTGTGAAGGTAATGCATTTATTTCCAATCAAACGTAAAAGACAACTTCGATGAGTAGGAGGGATATTTTTGTAAACATGTTCTTACAGAGCCTATGACCACAGTGCCCTGGATAGTTTTTGATTATTATTTATATTGTACTAAGTCTTTCTTGCAGCAAGCCCATAGACAGGGAGTTTGGAGAACTGCCTGGATCAAAATTTGATCTAGATTCTGTTACAGCTGTGGTAAAAAGGTCCACTATTAAAAAAAAAAATCCACACCTTTGCAGTTGCTGGCTATATAGGCTTGTGGTACAAATGTATAATTATACAACTTAAAATTCAGACTTCACTATTGTCATATTCCAACTATATTCCTTACCTTCAGGTCAAAATTCCTTCAAGATGCTCATCAGTTTATGTAACCCATTTGGAAGAAGTTGCATCATTCACAGAAAAATCAAACCCAAGTCTGTTAATTCCTCTTTTCAATGAATTCAGATAATTATTTTTGATCGGAAAAGACCCATTGTCTTTATAACTGAATCTTGTCATCTAATGACTCTCTTTCAGACAGTTTCCTGGCATTCAAGACTGTGTGATTCTAATTAATAGCTACATGTATTTTCTCTGAATATCTTACTCAGGCTTTGGAAGTTCTAGGATTAAAATATAAACTCAAGTGCTACTATTTTTCTACAAGCTGTCATTATTATTATACACATTTAACCATGGTCTATAGATATGTATGGTCTTTTCAAGCTGTAGGTATTTGTATTAAAAGGATAACAACTGTTCATTTTGGCCAAAAAGTTAATTTTCCTGGGGTAAAGGACAATTTTCCCATACTTACCAATGGTTAATAAATCCATTTCTACATTCAAAATTAGTCACTGTTTTTTTTTCAAAAAAGTTTGTTTTTTTGTAATAATCTCTTAAGAGATTATTACAGAGTATAGCCATCTATGGAGGTCACGTGGTCTGATGACAAGCAGACTTCAGAATAATTGCTATAACTGTCGTTTTTGTTAATAGAATATATTATGTTTCTATGAGTTGTTTACAATGTATTTACTATGAAATATGAATGTCATACGAACAGTTGTTATCCCTTTAATTTTAATAAGATTAATAGAATGAAAATATTCATAGTTTCATCAGATTGCACTAGTATGGAATAACTTGCATACATTTGTAAAAGAGAAAAAAATGAATATATAAAATAATGAATTAATAAAGAATCAAAAGAGAAAGTCTAGGTAGAAGGAATTTTTCTGGCAAATATTTACTTTAGATTTGAAAGGGATTTTATTTCTGCTGCTGCAGTAGAGGAAAGTAAATAAGCAAAAAAGTTTCATTTTGGTGTATTGTGATATAACTTTAGTTTCTTTGGTGAGAAAATATTGTCTGTGTCGTTGCTTATAAAATTATTTTATAAAATTGCCCCTCCATGACAGATTAATGGCCTTGCTTTCTCTTTAAGTCAAAAACAAGTAAGGTATCACTTGAAATCCTATTAAAATGTATGTGCGTATACAGAAGTCTTGTTTAATACAGACTTTAGACAACTTTTATAGATTTCAATTCACTTGAGGACAAGCTGATTTAAAAGCACACATTATACCTAAAAATGTACAAAATCATCAAAGATTTACCAAAAGTCCAAACCCATTGCGTGCCTTTTCATGGAATTTGATGCACCAATACACTTGAAAAAAGTCAATTTGGAAATAGGCAAATAAATACTTGGCAATTTATCCTCAAATTCAACTTAGGTTGTATATCGTTTTTATTATATATACCACAAAAATGGTTCTGAGGTAGTATGAAAATAAAATAAATAAAATAAACTTATGTGTACAATAACTTGTACACTTGTGCCCTTTTAGCCAAGAGTGTGTTTCAGAGGCAAAGACACTTATAGGTAAACTGATAATTTGGAAATTACAATAAAAGTTGACTATATCAAACATTTCTAAAACAACTTTTTATTTCAACAAAAATTTTCAAAATAAAAATTGATACCAATTGCTCCTTGGTAAAGTGAAAAAATATAAAATCAATAAGTCATTTAAGTCAACAACTAATGCTGATACTGACAAATAATGAGCAGGAAATTTTCACAATTCATTTTTGAAAAAAGCTGCCAATTTTTAAAAAAATATTCATTTTATCAATACACAACTGCCTTGGTTTTGCATTTAACACAACATAAACTTTCACAAATTCCTTGTCTTGAATAAATAAAACAAATATCAGACCTATTCCTTATAAACAATGAACAATGGCACACGTCCTATGCCAAATCTCCCCCCCCCCCCAAAAAAAAAAAAAAAAAAATTGATGCATGCTTATTACTGCATTGCCATACAATGGAATATTCCATTACTAAAATAATAACAGTAAAGATTTGAATTTTAAAAATCCCCTCTTTGTTCAGCTGGCAGTAATTTAACTCGAACTAGTCAATATGTATTTTGCATTCACTAGTTAATAATCCATAACAAATTTCAGTTCACAACACTGAATACCTAGTTTTGTTCTTTTACAAATGATCCTATTGAAAGACATATATTGCTCATTCATTTCAATTGGAAAACTGGGTTTATCTAAGAAAAAAAGATAAAAGAGAAAAAAAGATGCCCCTTTGTCTCAATATAATAACCAAGAAACAAGAAAGATTCACGCGTTTTTAATGTTCACAAATACTTTTCTACATTGCTTAGATTTTGGGTGTATTTATGTTTAAATAAGGAATGTGCCAAGAATAAATGTTTTCACCAATTGCTGCTTTCCCCAGTTGGCATGGATGTCCTTTAAGTGATAATCAATATGGCATATAATAATAATGACAGTAATCTGTAGTCCAGTGAAAAATATTACATTGCATGTGTTCTGGTCTACCTGCTCTATTCTAACATGCTTGCAAACATTAATGAGACATTTCACACCTCATCACCTCTATGTCACAACTCATCTCTTATTTCTTCTGCCGTTTCATTTTCGTCTGGCTCATCTAGCTTTCCCATTAAGTCATCATACTTGATCAGCAGCTCTTGAACCTTCTCCCATGCCTGGAACATTGAATTACTGGAATGACTGTGAGATGTCACTGTTGATTGTGATGGTACATGTAGTTCTGTTTGGTGCAAATATCAACACTTACCTTTGTTTTTGTTTACCACACCAAAGCAATTTGATGTAGATTTGTATAGCATTGCAATTAAATTGATTTGTTAAAAACATTTAATATTTAATCACTGATTTCTGAAATGACTAGGAGATGTGACTGCTGTTTGATTTAGTACAAGTATTATACAGAATCTTGTTTACCACTCTAAAGAGGTTAAAGGTTCTCTCCACAGGAATTTTCCACCAAAATGAACTTTTCTGGGGTAAAGAGCAATTTTCTCTTACTCACAAAGGATAGCTTGGCCTGTCCCTGTACTTGGATTTGATGTCTCATTTCATTTTTAATTTCATACGTTAGTGCTGTTTGAAATGACTGGCCAGTCAAACAGAACGACATCAGCTGTCACGTGCAATGCCTCATTCTCACACGAGAAAATGTGCCATGTATAATACAGATGTTGGGAGCATGCAATGGCTACCCAATGAGGCTGAGTAGAAAGTAACGACACTAGGTACGCTTCTGATAAACTTTCATTTAAAGGGTTTTATCATCTTTAGGGTTTGAATTGGAAAACATAAGAAGCTTTACAGGACATAAATATGACTGTGGAAGATTTTCAGACACATGAAGAGAACCTTTAAGTGGTTCCCTAAAGATCTATGAAATGATCTGTGGAAGAAAAACATTACAGATTAAAGACATGCAGTATGGAATTTGACAGAAAAACCTCTACCTCAATACTTGTTTTTTCAACTTCTTTATACTCCAGCTTCTGGCTTTTGTCTGCATCTAAAATTCTGAATATCTAGGGAAAGGGGAAAAGGCAATATAAGGCTACGNTAATTTAACTCGAACTAGTCAATATGTATTTTGCATTCACTAGTTAATAATCCATAACAAATTTCAGTTCACAACACTGAATACCTAGTTTTGTTCTTTTACAAATGATCCTATTGAAAGACATATATTGCTCATTCATTTCAATTGGAAAACTGGGTTTATCTAAGAAAAAAAGATAAAAGAGAAAAAAAGATGCCCCTTTGTCTCAATATAATAACCAAGAAACAAGAAAGATTCACGCGTTTTTAATGTTCACAAATACTTTTCTACATTGCTTAGATTTTGGGTGTATTTATGTTTAAATAAGGAATGTGCCAAGAATAAATGTTTTCACCAATTGCTGCTTTCCCCAGTTGGCATGGATGTCCTTTAAGTGATAATCAATATGGCATATAATAATAATGACAGTAATCTGTAGTCCAGTGAAAAATATTACATTGCATGTGTTCTGGTCTACCTGCTCTATTCTAACATGCCTGCAAACATTAATGAGACATTTCACACCTCATCACCTCTATGTCACAACTCATCTCTTATTTCTTCTGCCGTTTCATTTTCGTCTGGCTCATCTAGCTTTCCCATTAAGTCATCATACTTGATCAGCAGCTCTTGAACCTTCTCCCATGCCTGGAACATTGAATTACTGGAATGACTGTGAGATGTCACTGTTGATTGTGATGGTACATGTAGTTCTGTTTGGTGCAAATATCAACACTTACCTTTGTTTTTGTTTACCACACCAAAGCAATTTGATGTAGATTTGTATAGCATTGCAATTAAATTGATTTGTTAAAAACATTTAATATTTAATCACTGATTTCTGAAATGACTAGGAGATGTGACTGCTGTTTGATTTAGTACAAGTATTATACAGAATCTTGTTTACCACTCTAAAGAGGTTAAAGGTTCTCTCCACAGGAATTTTCCACCAAAATGAACTTTTCTGGGGTAAAGAGCAATTTTCTCTTACTCACAAAGGATAGCTTGGCCTGTCCCTGTACTTGGATTTGATGTCTCATTTCATTTTTAATTTCATACGTTAGTGCTGTTTGAAATGACTGGCCAGTCAAACAGAACGACATCAGCTGTCACGTGCAATGCCTCATTCTCACACGAGAAAATGTGCCATGTATAATACAGATGTTGGGAGCATGCAATGGCTACCCAATGAGGCTGAGTAGAAAGTAACGACACTAGGTACGCTTCTGATAAACTTTCATTTAAAGGGTTTTATCATCTTTAGGGATTGAATTGGAAAACATAAGAAGCTTTACAGGACATAAATATGACTGTGGAAGATTTTCAGACACATGAAGAGAACCTTTAAGTGGTTCCCTAAAGATCTATGAAATGATCTGTGGAAGAAAAACATTACAGATTAAAGACATGCAGTATGGAATTTGACAGAAAAACCTCTACCTCAATACTTGTTTTTTCAACTTCTTTATACTCCAGCTTCTGGCTTTTGTCTGCATCTAAAATTCTGAATATCTAGGGAAAGGGGAAAAGGCAATATAAGGCTTCGTTCACATGGAAAGTCTATTTTCTAAATTCTATTTTCTATTCGCGGTATGTTTAGTGATCACGGTCTGTGCCCTGAATGTCCCGCGGCGTAATTACTGGCAGCGCGAGCCAGTTACTATAAGTTACTATAAGTAACTGGCTCGCGCTGCCAGTAATTACGCCGCGGGATATTCAGGGCACAGACAGTGATCATAAGATACCGCGAATAGAAAATAGATTTTTAGAAAATAGACTTTCCATGTGAACGAAGCCTAAATGAACATTGAAACCTTGTTGGTATGAAACCTAATAACTTCTGGTAAGCTTTTCTAAATCAAGTACTAAAACATGCACTTTTTCCTTTTACCAAGGATCTTTTACAATGTATATTACAATATGTACAGTAATGACTCGATCTTTTCAATGGGCAAAAATTATCAAACTTTCAGACACATCATTTTAAAACCAAAAAATGATATTTTTGTGTTGCATTTGTGGTCCATTTTATGCATAGAATAGAACTATAAAGCAGTCTGCTTTTCAATTTTGTTGCCACCACTCAATAGGATTGCTCTTATTTTAAGAAATTAAGACTTCAAAAATACAGTATCTGTAATATTCACAATCCCCCCCCCCCCATTGAAAAGACCTAGTCAGTACCATATTTTATCTGTAATTTGACAGACCATACCTCACTCAAGTATAGTTTATGTTCTGTGCCAAGTACTTGTTCATCTTCTTCAGTTAAATCCTAATATTGTTAGAAAACGTAACAATAATTTATAACCAAACAAATAGTAGCAAAATGACTTCATTTTTTGTTTATTTCAATTTAGAAAGGTGATTTTCATCTATTTAAATTTGCCATGTACAAATGCCATCAAACAATATCTCATAAGTCACTGAATTGTGTTATCAAAAGCCATCTAAAAATCAAGGTTGTTTTCGCCTTTTGAAAATGTACAGTTCCTGTATAAAAACTTGATATTAACCAACTTTAAAGCTAAAAACATTAAAGCTGTAAAATGTATTGACCAAGTTGCACTTACTATTCCCAGGATTTTCTGGAACTTTTCAAATGTGATTTCTTTGTTGGTTTTGCAAATATCAAGAAAATGTGCACTAAAAAAAACAATGAAAAGAGAAATCATGCAAAGTATTAGCTTATGTTCCATAAATGCTTGTACTTTAACCCAGAAGGACATTTAGTGTCAATTCAAATATCTCATATTATCTCAAAATTTGAAATTTTAAAACTGATACAAAAAAAAAAGGAAAAAACATAACAAGACCATTAATGAACCATTTAGTTTAAATCTGCCACTTGTGATGCATCCATGTACTGAAAGATGTTGTGACAATGAATATTGCATATGTATATAACTGCATGAGTTGCATGCACAATTGAAATTTGTGACAAAAGGTGCTTACATAATTGATTCTACATCCTGTAACATTTCATCAAACCCTGAAAACTGACATTTATCCAAAGTGATAGCAGGGTCCTCTTCCCGACCCTCGCACTGGCTGAGATCAAGCTTTTTATTTTTATGAAAGTTCCACCAGATATTCACTGCTATGTTACGGTTATAAGAGCGGACCTGGTGGATCCTGAAACATTATCAAATGCTGATCAATGAATATCAAGACAGTGGACCATTCCAAAATATACATCTGACAAAATACAATTGTCACAGAGGAGCAGGCAAAATAGTTTGACTCCTTGTAACTATTTAACAATAATTCATAAATCATTATTGTTAACACTACTGGCATTTGCCTATATTGCACCTGTTATGAGGCATAAGTGGATAAAAACTAAAAGAAATAGTTTTTTACTTCTTTAAATCTCTTTTCATTGTTAATTTTTCTTGTCCAAAATGCTGTAAAATGACTCATACCAACTATAACCTACAGTGTACTTACAGTGAGAAGCTAATTAATGGCAAAAGGCAAAGTAGGAATAACCAATACTTCCATGTCGGAGGCAAAAGGTATATAGATAATATTTACCACTTATAAGGAATGTATAGGCAATCACCAGCTGTGAGATTGACATGGTAATATTCAACTTCCCTCAATCCTGGGTACTTATCAAAATCAACTCTGAAACAGAAAATATATTTGCAATACAAGTCGTTTAATCTGGTTAATGTAATACAATGTACCAAGGCACATTTTGGCTGCTTCAAAAGAATTTATTAATCTTAGAAAACACCTGTAAAAAGCAATAACAGTACAGTTTCTTTTCAACAGCTAATGCATTCATTAGTGCAAAAAATAACAATTGATTTTAGGTGCTGCTTAGAGGAAACCATTACTGAAATAAAGCTTTTGCCACAAAGACTGACACACCTTATGAAAATTTTACTATACCTGTTAATCACAGTTAAAATGTTCTTACCTGTCTACATCAATACCACTATATGCACCTTCTGGATGGTCTAAATCAACCTGAAACACACAATACCACAAGAACATACATGCTCATATATCATTTCTACTGAATGTTAACAGCAACAGCTTGAAGAAAAATACTACTGTAAAAATTACATGTTATAAATTTTATTTTGAAATTTGTTGGTCTAAGTGTGTTAAGAGAAAATGAGTGTATGCCAAAGTAGTTTTAAACAGAAATAAAACCAGACTTGCTTCTTTTTCATATAAATGCTGACAAAAACCTCTAATGATTTTATATTTAGTGTATTGAAATAGCACAATTAAAATAACTTTGACTTATTCAAGATTGGGTGTACCATTTAAGAGCTATAGGTAAGTCAAATTTTCATTAAGTTTAATATGCCGTTTGGTGCACCTGCTCATGAGATATGCCACTAAAAAATAAATATCTTACCAATTCTCCATACTTATGTGGATCAACAAAGACAAATTCTTTATCCCCTCTGTACAAACAGTTGATGTTGTCTACAGAATCTGTGTGTACAACAGAACTAGTCCCTCCGCTGCTATACCACATCATCTGAAAATAATACAATGGACACATTAATTAATAATTCAGATAAAATACAATATTAATATTACATTACTAGTGCGTACCTCATCTGAAGTATTACAATTTATAGTACTCGTGAAGCAGTGTACAAACATACATAATCTGGAAAATGATTCAGACCAAAGACAATACAATAGTACTAGTGTATAAAACAGAACCTTTTCTTCAACTGTTTCTTCATCTTTCATGAAATAGGGACTGTTCCCATAACCCCCTGGAGTATTAGCTAGATCGATCCAACTCCTTGGGGATTGCATTCAGTTTAAGCAGCTTAAATATCTGGCACAGCCCCTCGTAACTTGAAGTTCTTGGGTAAAGTTGGGTAAACTTTGTGGTCCATAATATGTTGTTCATGTTGCTTTGTGGCATGCCAGACAATTCAGTTGATTACAATGACTGTGCCTTAGCAAGAATCCCCGCTGAGATGGATCAATCCTGCTAGTATGAAAAGATTTGGGAACACAGTCATACGTACACTACTTTAATGACTGCTTTTTATGTATACTGATACATAAAAACTTATAATGTGTAAAAATATGGTACAATTCTAACTTTGACTGAGTTCCCATACCTAGATCCATCTAACAGGAACAATCCATCTCCGAGGGGTTTCTCCCTAAATTGCAATCAACTTTAGGGCTTGGATGTCTGGCATACCTACTGAAGCTGCTAAACAGTAATTAATTACCCCCTAGCAGCTTCAGTGGGCGTGACAGACATCCAAGCTGCTTAAGTTGATTGCATTTTAGCAAGAATCCCCTCGGAGGTAGATAGATACACAGTTAGTACGATAGGGTCTGGCAATGGACCCTTACTCTTTCACAATCCCATTTATGTTCATACTTTTTGGAAGGAGAGGCCTGGCCTGCATCCCCAAAAAATAACAGCAACAAAATAGGCCTCCGGCAATGGTTGTGGAATTACTATGACTGTACTCATGAAGAACTGTCAAAACATTTTGTGGTTTGTAAGGGAGTATTTAAAATTTTAAAATACTGATATGAAGAACTTCCACACATTCATCTAGTTGCCCACAATTAACACACTTACAGCTTCAGTAAGAAATCCCTCATGTATCATTTCCTCACACTGCAGTGGTCTTGGTAATATTATATCTTTTCTGGAATCCAATAAAATCAAATAAAAATATAAACTATTGTTTATGCATTTGATTTTGCTATAAAACCTAAAATGTATATGTAGCTGGCTTAAAATAGAGCATTTAGAGAGTATAACCAGGTCACAGTAACACCTTTATATCCGTTTCATTACTTTTCTGCACTGTTACTCCCTTAGGTAAAATTTTGATATTACCCGCATCGATACGCCCCAGCACTGCAACTCGATGTTACCTTATTACTAATTAGGTGTATTTTGAAAAAAAAAAGTGTTTTAATTATTTAAAGCAAGGTTTTGGTGCTCAGTAAATATAGAAAATGTGAACACGAGTGCTACAGACAGAAAACTTGACTATCTGAACATAATTATGAGAAGAACCAATTTTTGAAACTTAAATTAAAAGTAATTTTTTTCTACATATAAACGTACGCTATAATCTTTGGCACACTATTGACAAGATATTGATTGGTGTGATTATACACATGGACAAATTCCTTGAAGTGCATCTGTTCTACAGGTTGACTACGGTTTTCTTTCTTCATAGTCTCGACGGTGACATGCAAATCAGGGGGCATCTCCATCTCCAGAAAGTAATCATCCTCCCAAAGTCGGAATGCTGGTGACGTTTTGACAGCACCTCTCATTTTCAATGGTCTTGACTTAAATACATAATTCTCAAAGAAAGTCCTGGATTCTGGGAAGCCATCAACCTCATCCATGGTATGACTGGGTCCATCCCCAAACCGTTTCCATTGCCTGGTTTCTTTATGGACTTCAACAGCAAAATATCCCTGCTGGCAAACGAGGAATGTAAACAACAGAAATGGAGTAAAATCCATGACAGAAACACGAGACCCACACAAAGTAGACCGCCAAGCCATTAAAGTTTATATGTAAAAGCATATATATCCGGCCTACGTGACATTTTCACTGATAACATGAGTACCGAATGTCCCTCAGCAGTTAGGCTGTTTTACTCACATCCTTGTTTACGGTAATATCGGTCGACAGTATGTTCCTTTTTTTTTAAATACGTTCGGACGATTTTTACTGCTTTTGTATAAAATAGCCTGGCCGTACTTCTAAAATAGCAATTATTTTGCTTTATAGGAACGCTAATATACTGATGACTTCGACGCCGTAGGTCTTAAATGAAGTCGTTTAATTGTCGATAATGCAATCATATTTTTTGTCTTCAGTTCAAAACTTTTAATAAAAATACTACAGTAGTACACATATGTATTTTAAAAATTAAGTTATCGAGTAAAGCAAAACAAATATAAATAGTCGACGCATGGTAGTTCACAGTACGTAGGGTACAAGTTTAGAAAATTAGCTTAACTTTGCCTCGGTTCGCTTAATTGTTTATAATTATTTCTTGGGGGGCGGGGGAAGACGGGGACAGATAAGCTCGAACTTTCAACAAGCATAAGGGGAAATTAAATCCTAAATAAGATGTTGGATTTGCAAAATAATAATTCAACGATCCTACAAATACGGGTGCAATGTAAATATGTTTAATGACGTGAGACATAGCTTACGGCCATCTCCCCAATATAATGCTAACATCACTGTATCTGCATAGAATACCTAGTACTGGATCTGCCATTCAGGCACCAGTTTGAAACCCTGTGTTAAGTCAGTTATAAGATGAGTGAAAGAATTCCAATCGAAAATGCATTAATTCCAACGCTTATATTCGACAGATTGGAATTTTGTTGCACACTATCGGTACCAAGCAGGTGCGTCTTTTTTTATAATCTGGAACCCACCTTTAGTGAAGATTGGCATACATTACATTTTATACATAATTTTATACCATAGAATATAATTTTAAAATTATAATTAGAATTTGGACTTAATATTATTTGATAATCCCACATAATCTGTGTGTCTGTGATATTTTAAAATGGTATTGAGAATAGGACACCTTGCTTTTCGAAATGTTGCCCCCTGAAAATCTATTCACATGTGTCACCGCCGCCATCTTTAAAGAAGCCGGTGCAGGAAACAATAAGGAAAGAAGTAAATTTAAAATTCTGGCGCATTTTTAAATTTAGGTAAGTAATATCGGTATTCCCAGAGTGATTTTCACTTCAGGGGAATGCCTGCATGCTTATGTAACACTGTTCATACAAACATGATTAGTAACTTGTTTGTGTATCCGAATCAAGAACAAAGAAATTTGCTCTCGATTGGCTACTGCTTTTGTGAAAAATGTCGTTACGCGCACATTCTATTAGTATTAAACCCATGTTGCTGCCCGATTTGCAGTTTATTTACTGAACAATATATCTGCTGCATAATGTCGTTTGTGGTATTTAGAAAAATTAAACATGTATTTTTAAATATTAACTTCTAGGCTTTGCCCGCAAAACCCCCGTTTTGCCCGCCATTGCGCCTGACGTCAATCTATTAGTAAAAAAAAAGTTGAATAGAAATCCATATTGCATGCACTGGGAACGAAATTGCAACACTGTAAAGGATTCAGTCATTTGAAATTATTACTATTTATAATATTTGAAGTTGGAAAATAGGCTTTGTGAGTGTATTGGGATAGGTTTTGTTTCTTTGTTTTAGGTCCTTTGTTTTGTGATCACGGTTCTTATTGAGTTTTACTAACATATTCTTCCATAGGTTTGTTAGCAATCAATTTTCAGCGCTTTCTTGTCAAAAATGATTTTGTGTTAGCTCATTAATCATTTCAGGATATTACTGGGCCTCATTTTTTTCCAACCCCAGTCTCTTCAATGTGGGACCTGAAGGGTACACATTTTTGCCTTACACTGTGCATGGATGGTAAAAAGGCATGGTAAAAATTCTGTATTTTGTGACATCTCTGTGACTACATAAATCCCACTGACTTAACGTCAACATTGATCTACTGTTCTGTAAAATGGCTGTGAAAAATGAAATGTATGCTTGTGATCAGTGTAATGGAGGATAAGACTTGCTACTGTATTAACTCCTCTTTATGAAGTTCTGGTTAGGGAAGTGCAAAATATATAAAGAGAGATTGGTTTATTCCTGGAAAATATCTTCTAAGCTTTTAATTAAAAAGAGAAGGAAAAGATGAAATTTTTGTCTTATCCTTAATAATATTCTTTATTGTATGGAAAAGTCTAGAATCACTATAAATTGAATAACACTTTTTCATAATATCTGAAAAAAGATTATATGGTTTGGATTTTTGATAATCAAGATATTAATCTGATAATGTATCATGGCTAAGACATGGATGTTACAAAATGGCCAACAGCATATTTTTTGGAAGTTCTTGTGATGTGACAAGCTAGAGCAGACTTAAGAAGGGTACAAAAATCAAACAAACAAAAAAACTGGCAGACATTCTGTATGACAGGCTTGAAAATTCTGATCGACCAAATTGAAAATCTGTGATACTGAAGCATAATCGAAGAAATTGGCAAATTATTTGATTTTTAAGAGGGAAAAAAGACATTTCCACACAGTGTTTGCCTCTTAGAAAAATTAGTTGCTGGACCGAAGGTCCAGCCACCTTGAAAAGTAGCTGGACTGAATGTCTCCTGGGTGGGAAAACTTCTGGGCCCTTTCTGAAAGTTGCCGACCCTGGGCAGACGGTACAGAGTTAATTTCTAACACTGTTTTCACAATAACTTCACGAAAGGGGCATTGCAGAATGGACAAGGACCAAAATACAATTTGATAATGAAGAGTGTGTAGCTTGTTATATCAAATGCTCTCCATAAAAATGTCTGTTAATCAGTTACAATTTCACCTTTTGCGTTTGGCAAAAACATGCATTGCTAAATGCAAAATGAGACTGCCTGTTTTGGTTAATTGAAGTTTTGGTGGCACTTGCCCAGCCTGAGACTGTATTCTTTCTTCTTGTCATGAGCCTTCATGTGCTTTTTCGCAAACTTGTGGTCATGAACAGTAGATGAGCGGAAATTATAATAATTCGTAATAAAGCAGTTGAATTTCTGTTGGTGGTGATCATTACTTAAGTCCTCCTGAAAAGCAGCAAAGAACTCCCCATAATTTTTTTCCTGACTATTTAAGACTGAAGTAAAATACCTCACCAAAAATAAATGAAGATGTATCCCGTAGATTTACACATTCTGAGTCAACTTGAAAACTAGTTAGACATAAGGACTGGCAATACGGGATTTTAATAAAGGTGTGACTTAATTGTAGGAGACAGATGATTGGATAATTTATTGTTGTAGATGTCAGCTGTGGGGACTATTAAGTTGCCAGGTTGGTTGAAAGTGCTAATTGACCTGCATGGTTCCAGAAGTTGAACCCTGGCTTACACTATTCTGACCTTGGGTTTTCTGAGGTGTCAGTATTTGCATATGTCATCATGATTTTAAATGCTCAGTTGATTAACTTTCTTTTCAAATCTTGTTATTAAGTTACTAACTTGTGTTGACAAGGGAAAGTTCATGGGTTAGGAGAGATTTTAGAAGCCATAATGTGGGTTCTCTAGTATATTTTGAATTTGATATTTTAGCAGTGAACTATTTCATACTGGTTTTGTTTTTGTTCTTTAAACTTTGCTCATTGTGAAAATTCATGAGTGTTGTGACAGTAGTATTTCATAGTCTCATTTATTTGAAACACCTTTTAGATATAAAAGAAGACGAGTTGGGAGGAAAATAACCCTTTGTCAACATAACATTATCTTGGTTTGTTTTGTGGTGATAATAACTGCTGCTGCTTGTGCTGTCAAACTTAATACTTTATTTTCAACCATTTCCTGCTTTTAAAAGGGACATTGTACTTCACTCCACCTGCCACTGCCAACTCCGTAACTCTATTAAAAAGCCCCCTTTTTTAACAGAGTTCAATTGTCATTACTCAAGTTTTTGATCACATGGCTTGGAGTCTGTTCAAAAGTCAAAACACAATAGTGAGAAACGGTTTCCTTTGTCTTATACAGGCCCACCATGGCGGACACCAATGGTGATTTGGAAGAACAGAACCCAACAGAGGAACCCATGGAAACCCAAGAACCTGTCGAACATGGGGAAGGATACCAGAAACTTGTAGATTATGGAATTGACCAAAAAGTAGCAGAAGAATTGGACAAAGTCTATCAAACAGGTTTGTCATCATGAAATTATGACAAAGACATTTAAATAAAATGACTGATCCTTTAGCTGAGTCTTTGGAATTTTAGTGGTTGTGAGCTTTTGACTTTTCAATTTCCTGTAGTTAATAAGGACTTTAAAGAACTAAGTTATTTAAAACCAGGCTTGATGTGTGTACTTTGGAAATGATTGCCAAATTAAAGCATTGAATAAGACAGGTATATTCACATTTTACAAAACTGCTTCTTATGGAATGTGTAGGGGAGTTTTTATTTATTTATTTTTTTTATAATTTTCAAAATATTTTACCCTTTTCATTTAGAAACAGTTTGTCATGACGATCTTGATGAGCGAGCTTTAGATGCTTTAAAGGAATTCAATGTTGAGGGTGCTTTGGAGGTTATCAAGGAGTTCTGCACCAGTAACCTTGAGCATGTGACCAACAAAAGTGCGTACCTGTGTGGGGTGATGAAGACGTACAGACAGAGGATGAAGCAGCCAGGTGGTGCAGCTCAAACTACACACGGTCCTGATGAGGCCAAATTAAAGGTAAGATCACATTAAGACTTGCTATTTCTAGGTTTAAAGGAAGAGAAAAACCTTGCCCATGTTTCAACTTTTGCATGGAGGTTACTGTTGGATCCACAGAGAAAAGAATGGTCTTAAACTGATAGTGTTTGCTTATTCAACCCTAAAAAGATGCCATAAATTTTTGCCTTATAGGAAATCCTTGACAGGACTGGTTACTCATTGGATGTAACAACAGGGCAAAGGAAGTATGGAGGACCACCCCCAGACTGGGAGGGTGCACAGCCAGGGAGTGGCACAGAGGTAATGCTGGTCTCATTTTCTATAATAGATAATATGGGACTTGATGACACATATAACAGATGGCTTTAACTTATAAACAATGGTGTGAATTAAGAAAGAAAATGGAGCATGGTAAACAATGTAAGTGAAAAATTGCATCATTGTAATTTTCAGGTCTATGTGGGAAAGATTCCCAAGGACTCATTTGAAGATGAAATAATCCCTGTGTTTGAGAAAGCTGGGAAAATTTGGGATCTGCGTCTGATGATGGATCCACTCACAGGTCTCAACAGAGGATATGCCTTTGTTACATATTGTGACAAGGAAGGGGCACAGGAGGCAGCTAAACAGGTTGGTAAAGACCCAATTGAGCCTGGCATTAGGCTGTCAGGAAAGCACAGAACTACAAGTCTCCATAATACATGTTGAGAGGATTTCTTGAAAACAAATATTGATCATGTGCTCTTGCATATGGCTTTGTAGTATATGTGAAGTTTCAATGTAGTATATATATATATTTTTTCCTCTCACAGCTGGACAACTATGAGATCAAACCAGGCAAGAAGATAAAGGTGAACATTTCCGTGCCCAATGTAAGGTTATTTATTGGAAACATTCCCAAAAACAAAAGCAAAGAGGACATTATGGAGGAGTTTGGGAAAATTGCAGGTAACGAAATGTTCTGTCAGTTTGGAGTCGAGCATTCATGTTGTTCAAAATTTTGCCCCTCTTGATCATGGGTATTGACCTTAATAGTACTACTTACCTGTCATGGTGATGGTATTGTGGAACATGGCCTGCATATCTTTTATATGCTGGTATTCTTTTGTTTCAGAGGGTCTTGTAGATTGTATAGTTTATGGAAATCCAGATGATCCAAAGAAAAAAAATAGAGGTTTTGCTTTTCTTGAGTTCGACTCCCACAAATCTGCATCCACGGCTAAGAGGCGGCTGAGCTCAGGGAGAGTAAAAGCCTGGAATGGAGACTTTGCCGTGGACTGGGCTGATCCTCAGGAGGAACCTGACCAGGAGACCATGTCCAAGGTAAACATGACAGGCCTGGTTTAATTACAAACTATGAATCCACTGCCCTCCAATGATTAATCTTGAACTCTGCATATTCTGAATTTGCTAGGAGCCTTGAGATGTCGTGGGCTTGGGTGGTCTGTCAGAATGCTTGTCCCAGCAGCAAGATAACATTCTTAGTGATATTGATGAAAAATTGTTAATCTGTTCTTGAGCAGGGAATGGCCACAAGTAGTGGGGTTTGGCAGGTTATGACTCTTGTCTTCAAATTTTAGGTAAAAGTGTTGTATGTCAGGAACCTCACGGCTGATGTTACAGAAGAAATGATCAAGGAAAAGTTTGAGCCATATGGCAAGGTGGACCGTGTTAAGAAGATAAAAGATTATGCTTTTGTTCACTTTGAAGATAGGGATGCTGCAATGCAGGCCTTAAATGATCTGAATGAACAGGTAAGGTTCCTATAAATTGTATTAGATATTTTAAAATTTGATGTAAAATTATTATTTGACATAAATGGAAGCCTGACAGGTCTTTTGATGGGCACGTTGAGGGTAATTACATCAATCTGTAGTCATGTATGATATTTGGTATTTCAGAAACTTGGTGCCAGTGTTATGGAAATCTCCCTGGCCAAGCCCCAGTCTGAAAACAAGAAGAAAGAAATGAGGAAACGAGAACAGGACCGACAAAGGATGATGATGGGAGGAAGGGGGTGAGTTATTTCAGTGACTGCAGTCTGTACATTTAAAACTGTTAAGCTAAAATTAAGCTTGATGGTAAATGTGAATGATTTGGGTAAAGTTAGAATTGTTTTGTTATTTCAGATTTGATGATTATTTTGTTTCACCAAGAGGTGGTTTCCCTCCCCGGGGTGGTCGTGGCATGGGCAGGCCAATGGGAAGACCTATGGGTGAGTAGGTTCATTCTAAATTTAAAACCAAGTATTCCACAGTTCTTAACCCATCAGTTTCACTGTTCTGTGAATGTCCGTTTTTGTGTTTGCACTGTTTTTTTCCTCTGTTTTCAGACTATGACTTCTATGACTATGGGTATAATGAATACAGAGGTGGCTATGCTGACCCATACTATGATGATTGCTATGCGGGAGGTGGTGGTTATGATGACTTTAGCTTTGGTCCCCCTAGAGCTGGACCTCGGGGACGAGGTGGCATTCCCCCAGGGGTAAGCAATAATACTGAAAGGCGTCAGTAGGAGGGAATAGAGATTTTCTTTTCTTTATTTTTAATCAGATGATGTACATGTACTTATGTTGCATGAATTAGTTTTTTTTTACTAAATGCGGATTTACAACTATTTAGTGTTGGTGCTTACAACAGTAATGAAATTAATCTGCTAGCTAAAAATTCTCATCCCTGAATTTACTTATTATCTTGGATGGAAACGCACTTTACCACTAGTTTTTGTTTCACCATAAAGTTGAATGCATATTCACAGTCCAGCTCCAGTGCTATGCTACCCCAGTAGCCTTGGCGTTTATACTGTGAACAGCAATACTGGGACAGCTATGTCATGCTTTTGTACTTAGGAACTGTGACACGCAATCTCAGGTACACTTTTTCTTTTCCAGCATACCAAGAACCCAACATGGAAAGTAAGACATATGTTTTTCTTTGAAAAGAGAGTGTGAATGAATATCTTGTTTTCTGTTGTAGGGTGGACGAGGAGGGCGAGGCAGCCCCATGCAGCGTGGTGGCATGGGAGGTAGAGGTGGAGGATTTAGAGGTGGGCGTGGCGGTATTCCTCGAGGTGGACGTGGAGGGCAGCCAATGAGAGGGGGCAATGCCAACCGACGTCCAGGGGGCAAGCGCAAGATGGGAGGCGATGGAAACCAAGGTCAGAATAAACGCCGCACCACCAGTGACCAGTGGGGTGCTCAGCCCATTGCTCAGCAACCACTGGAATTTGATGGAGGACAGGAGTGGTACCAAGATTCCTATGGCTCACAGTGGAAATAATCTCTTTTCAACACCAAAAATATAATTGATCATTGGTACTGTCCAAAAGCCTTGTCCTGTAAAATCTATTTGGACAAAAAATTATTGCAGACCTCTGTGAAAAAAGTATCCCATCTTGCAAATTTTGAGCCAGCTGTGTTGAAGTATGAAAAGGATATCAGAAATGGGGATTTTGAATTTCCTGAATTGGATTTACAGAAAAAAATACAAGCAAAATACTGCTTGATTTTTAACAGCACAAAATGCACCATTGAATTCATTGACAAAACACTTGTTAATGCATGGGATGAAAATGTACTATTCAACTTTCTAAAACATCTTATGGAAAAGTGTTCTGCAAGATCGCTGCATTTGAACAGAAATTCTTTCTGGAATTTGTTCAACTGAAATGAAAATAATTGACCAGCTCTCTGGAAAAAGTATTTAGAGCAATTGGTCATTTGTACATAGTTACCCTATTTAGTCCAAATTGTAACTTTGTGTAGAATGCATTTATTTTGTATGTTGAAATTGTTAAATCGATATCATGCAAGTAGTGGAATAGCAATACTAGTGAGCTCTTTGCTAGAAACGTGGACCTTAGACAACAGCAAATTCTTACTACCCAATTTGTTTCTAAATGTTTGGATATGTGAGACAATGTGGTTTTAAAAAATGGGAATGATATTTGTCCCATTCGGTTTGAGTTTTTATTGATGTTTATTGCCATTATTATTAATGATAATGAATTTGTAGTCAGTATTGAGCCATCAAGTAAATAAATGTCATTGTTTTAGTAAAATTTTTAATGGGAGGTAATTATTTGATGAAAATTTTGCTTGATTTCAGTATGAAAGCAGAGCTTGTTTTTTATGAATTGAAGTTTTTCTTTAATATTACCTGAAAATGTGTGATGAAAACAGTAGCTCTCATCTTTAAACAAAATAAATGATATTTATTCAAAAGAAGTAAAAATTCCCTGTTCAGAAAGAGGCTTTCACCACCCATTTCACACAGCATGATAAAATTTTGTTGAAAATATTAATTACAAGTATATAAATGTATGCGATGGCTAGAGATGTTATATTCCCTAAGCGTGATTTTCAGTGTAGATGTCTAGTTGTTTCTGTTATCAGTTTAGACTGGTGTGCATTGTTTCTGAGAAAGGAGAAAACCCCAACAAAATGTTGTTTGTGTTTACAGGTTTTTAGTGGCAAGCTCTGCTTTCTAGTTTAAGGGTTGATAAATTAATGTTTATCTTTGCATGCATTGTTTTACTGCACTAACAATTGTTTTTTCTCTTTTTTTCTTTTCCTTCCCTGTCCCTCACCATTGCCAACACCACCAATCTTGGGAACATTACTTTGGAACCTCGTATTTGTTCTAGTAGGCTATGCAAGTGACTAGTCTTCTGTGCCAAATTCAAATTGTGCAGTCACCTGTGTTCTGTTCTTGTTGCTCATTCATTGGCTTTGTTCAAATATTCATCAACAAAAAATTATCACACTAAAAACAAAAATAGACAAAAAAAATAATGTATCGTTTTTGAGGACTTGGAAAAATATTTTTTGTTTTATCGCTAAAACGTATAATTATGGGAAAATTTGAAATTCACTTTGGATTGGAATCCAACTTCATCTGTGTTTGGCTATATTCCTGAATGTGGACCTTGCATGTTGGCTGGCGCTGCCTCCACAACATAGGTTCTGGAAGAGGAGAACTTGCCATGGAGCTGGTTGTAGTAGTAGTTAGTAGTCGACCAAGAAACTCCATGGTGTTTATCATCCTCACTGAAGACAACTTTAAAGGTAAGGTGGGCTTGAAGTGGGGAGTTTGATGATTTTTTTTTTTTAGCAATTTTAAATGCTTGGAAGATGAGCTATGTTCACAGAGAATGTTGTCCCTGCTCAACTCTAAAAATCTTTGTGTGAAATGTAGATGCTCTTGTAAAGAAAGGGCTGTATTGGTATTTAGTGTTTTCGTCTTGGTCCTGTGGGATTTTTGTAGACCTTCATTACTTGACAGCTCGTAGGCCTCAAAATGGCCATTCTAATTCTAGAATTATGCTTTTCTTTATGGATTTTACATCCTTTATACTGTAACTGTCAATTTTATTACCTCCACAAAGGGTGACCCCCCCCCCCCCCCTTGTTGGTTTGTTAGTCGAACTCGTAAAATTATAGTCGTATTTTGGTCAAAAATGGGATTACTTTAAATTGATTCGATTTTGCTTGCGATCCATTAAATTATATTAATGGGAGTCGAGTTGCCTTGGCAGGGGTCTGTACTCTCGGAGTGCGTTTCTTGTTTGGTTTTTAGGCCTTTCTGTACATTATAATTTTTCTTTAATAATGCTAAAAATAATCCACAGATACTATAAAAGATGTGTAGGAAAAACTTACTACATTAGCAAAGAAAGAATGCAGGTCACTTACACTTGAATTTTATTTAGCATTGAAAATTGACAGCATTTTCAGATGATTTTTTCCATCATTTCGGTTCTCTTTGTATCATTCAATTCTGAGCATTGCCAGCCATTTCATGGACTTTCCCACTTTTGTGTTTTGCCACAGTTTGTGTTCAAAAACCTGGAGAAGGGACCCTCTGTCACTAGAAAATGTCAAAATGATTGGGAAAAACATTGCTTGCTTTTAAGCACGGTGAAATTGAAGGAATGCAAAAAGGTAGTCAAACTCGTTATGTTAAGAATATGTTTTGTGAAGCCAGTTCTGATACCATTTTCAGGGAAGTGATAAGACCTTTCCAAGACCTCCACTTCTTTCCTGGTGTATAAGTGGTATATTGAAGTTGTTAAACAAGTATATATTAATTGTATTTGTTGCAAAGATCTTGCTTTGTGACTTTCAGATTATGAAAATGTATGCTTTGGGTTTACTAACATCCCTGTTATATATTGACTGCATCCTGTTTATGGGAGAAATTGACCAATTCATAAATGCAGGTGACGCATGAAAAAAAGATGAAGAATTTAAACTTGTTAACGTTAAAAAAATGCTGCTTTATAGAGCTGCAGATTGCATTGTTGCATGACTCAACTTCATTAGTCATGTAACCTGTGAACTTGACACAGGTTTTTTTTCTAGAACTTGTTTTAAATTACCATATTGGTTAAAAACATTCTCTTTTTTCAGAGGAGAGAAGCTGGTGAGATGACCACTGTGAAGAGAGGAGAGTAACCTTGAGATTAGAAGCACTTAGTGATATAGCATTCATTATCATAAATATACTGGGAGAATGCACTTGGGACAACGGCATTCTATACATGCTAGTACAGTATCATTGTGACTTGCAGTCCAGATAGACACTCACTCACAGGATTCTTTTACAGAATTTTTTTATTACTAATCTTTTTACACAAGACAACAGATCTGTTCATCTGGTTACCACATTGTTCTGTGCTTTCTGACATCTTACATTAGAGCAGTTCCATCTCTGTGAAAAGCAGTGCTTTTTATGAATACTATATGAATACTATAACTCCCTCCCTGGCTTTGAAGAAGTGACCGCTATGTTTCCACACTGCTAGATTTCATTTTTCTCATTGATGATAAAATTGTCAAGTTTACATCAAATTTCATCAAGAATGTGTGGAAACTATTTGTATAAGGGCCAAGGAGACTTGATCTGAAAGTTTGTTTGATCCCATCTGAGGGGCAGACGTACCATGAAGCTTTTGTCTCTTTTTGGCAGCGTAAGGATAAAGTCAAACACAGTTGAAAATTGGAGTTTTTTTAAGAAAAAGTGAATTTTATTTTTTGTTTAAAATGTGTAAATTTTTGAATGCTAGGGTTTAAGGGCACCTGTTTCCCCAATTTTTTTGTAAGTCTGAAACTGTTCATTTGTATCTCTGAATATATATATTGTTGAAACAGAGAAAGGGGAATTCAGGCAACATTTGAACCAAAATTGTGCATATATTAATACTGCTTTGGAACAGAGGTAAATAAATAAGATCCCAGATTTATTAAACAGCACAGGTATGTGGAACAACGTAGGAACAAGGGTAGATGGGATGATGAGTATGATGACCCCGGTACTGCACCACTAGCAAGCAATTTTACAACTGTTAAAGTGATATGGGGGTATTGAGGTTTTTTGAAACTTTACTGTGGCGTTGCCTGCACAGGAAGTAGGTAATATTTTCTATTTTGCAAGCAGATTGTACGGTGCTATTATTGCCCTACTGCTCCTGTGTATGGCATCGTTTATGTTTATTTACCACTGTTGAATGCTTTTTATTTTTGTTATAATACCATCTTCATATTGTATGTCCATTGTTAAAGCATCTTGTTGACATATTTACATTCCATTTATACGTCGAGAGATGTTTGCTTCATAGCTGTCTGACTAGATCTGGCAAGATTGCAGTCATACTTTGTGACAGGCTGGGAGATGGTGTGTTTTATGTAGAATTTGAATTTGGATCATATTAACAGGTGACTAAAAAGGACAATGTATCTTTCTTGCTTTACACAAAAAGTGTAAGCCTCGTCAATTGTAGTATTTGCATGAGTATAAACAAAATTCAAGATGTTTTGACTGTTTCACAGAAGAAAGGAAATTGCGTAAAAATTGAAGAGATGTTTTCTTTTTGGAATCTCTAGAGAAGAAGGCTGATAAAATAAGTCTCATAATTTCAGCAGCTTTGGGTACGGTAGTGCTAAACAAGTCCCGTCTCTTGTAGCACAAAGGTATTGCTCTTCTCTTTCTATGGCCAGTCAGACCGTCTTTGAACTGGACAATGTTGGTTGGCAAGATGCCAGTCCAAATTGTTATGTACTTATCTTTTTTTTTCTAATAAAATATTTTTAAAAAACCATTTGCTGGTTCAGAGTTGGATGGATTTTTGAAGATGGACGGATAAACTTGGTCTTTTGATTTGAAAAGATCCATGAATTTAAAATTTTCATGAGTTGTCATTAGGTGCAAAAAGTAATTTACTTCTAAATGTCTGAATTTGACATGACAAATAAAAACCAAAAGGCACTAGTTTTTAAAATTTTACTTTCTGCAGAAAAATAACAATCCCATGCACGATTAGTCTTGGCCAAATGTAAGCCCAGCACTACACAAATTTAAATCTTTGTTCCATCACTGCTTTGAATAATGCCATCAAGATTTGAACAGGTCCCTGTTATATGCTTTTCACATCTGCATCATAATTTTCTCTTAGACCTTTCAAAAACATTCAACAGTTGTCATAAATATTTAGTTCCTCTTAAAAAAGAACCAATTTTAAATCCTAATAAATAACATTACAATTGTGATGTACAAATGAATGTGTGAAATTTGACTATAGCAGGTGGTTCAGATGAGTTCAAGGCACATTCACTTCTGATAAGAATATTTGGAATAAAAAATCAGGGGTAACATAGAAGATAAAAATAAGAAAAGTTCTACTGAAAAGAATCTTTTTACATTTTACTTCTTAAATATTCTTGTCGCCAATTTCAAAAAAAAAAAAAAAAAAAAAAAAACATGCCAGTTCACCTACTACTTGATGAAATAGTAAATGAAACGGGCCATTTGTATACAGCAAGCATAACAAAGAATTGAAATGTAAATGCCAATGAAGTTAATGTAACCAAAAGAACTAAAATATAATCAAATACAACAAAAAGGCAAGGTTTATGCTTCTAAAACATGCACACACTGAGGTTTAGGGGCATGACCTTTCTCCATTACAGTAAGAACTGGCCCAATTATATTTACACTGAAAATCCTTTGAAGTAGAAAAAATGAAATACCTGATGTATCACTTCTTGTGAGCCAAACAAGTTGTATGTGAAATGAATACATCTGCTAAAAGGGTGAAAACTGTCAGTCATAAAAAGTTGAAAAAGTATAGCATTATTTTGTTAAAATGGCCAATCGCCATTAGGCCATGTCTCTCACTGGCAACACCTTGCCTAAGCCAAAGAACTGGATAAACTTACAAGGATAAGTAGACACAGAAGATCACCTCTTTAGCCATTCCATAATTATAAAAACTGCACCATTTGGAGACTTACATAATCCAAGATTACAAAATCTGAAAGTTTTCTTTTTCAAACTGTACAGATTGTCACTACCACACTGCCACAGGAGGACTGCATCAAATACAGCATACAGAAAGCTCAACACTGCTAAAACCTAGTACTTAAAAAATGGATGATGTTTTCATTCAGATATATCTTTCTCTCTCCACCTTCAACTTGCCAACTAATGTGACCCACACGTGAGCTGGAGTTTAGATTGCCTGACCATGTGCACACTTCACTGCTGTTTCTATTTCCCGCATTGCATTGTAAGACATGGGCCCTTAATCCTCTCTCTAACAATATGTTGCATGAAGCTGTAAGCTTCATACTTTGCTTCACAAATCTGTCCTCGACTTCCATATTCACATGAAACATTCACCAGGTGTCACCTATATAGGCGGGAGAAATCCCTCAGAGCATGTGACACTTGTTTGAACCCCTCTGCACTGAAAACAAAAGTCCATACTTAATATGACTTGAAAATAGAAATACAACAGGGAGATATGATCAAAGTACAAAAAGAGTGTGTGTGTGTGTGTGTGTGTGTGTGTGTGTGTGTGTGGGTGGGGGGGGAAGAACATGGTTCATATTCAAAGTACAGCAAACTTAGAAAACTTCTAAACAAATAACTCAGATATTGTAGAAGGAATGTTTTCCTTTGGTATTTGCTGATTGCATTTTATTAATGAACATTAATAAACATTTACCTTGTAACTTCTTTGTGGAAGTCTACTAGTTGTTTTTGTGTTGCTGTGACAGCACCACCAGAACTTTCTGTAGGCAATGATTTCAATGCATGTTCCAGCCATTTACACACAGCCTAAATAAGAAGATGGTATCATGTATACACTGGCATTTCTCAATAACATGGCAGCTCTTTAAATGCAACTCTCATGGCTAAAGATTAACATATACGACATAAGAGATAAAGAATTATTTAGCCAATAAATACATATAATATTCAATATAAGGAACGAATTGCACAAGTCAAAGCAGAAGACATCATCACAAAAGCAACATATTATTCCATGCACTGGTAACATATGCGACACTGTTCTAGATGAATCATTTGAGAGTAACAGTCTAAAGTAGCACAGTATACAATGTAATAATGATCTGTACACTGTATTTACTCACCGGCCTGTCTAACTGCATCAGTTCATACAGCACCTCTGCAGCATCTACTATCATGTAGGAAGGGAGAAAAAACACAGCTGCTGACAGTAATGACTGAACTAAGGCCTCACCAGTGTCCTTGATCAGGCCCTGGACAGTGCTTCTGCAGACTTCTAAACCTGCATCTTCACTTGACTGGAATGAAGCAATGCACTGGTAAACGTATAGACAATAAGCTGTAAATGTATATGTGCATTCCATGTATGAAAAGTCTGTCTCAGCCAAATATTAGCCCATAACATCAGGTGGGTTGAAATTTTTATCCACCATTGCCTTTGACATTTGTTATAAAGAACAAAACATATCTTTGTTATATGTTTTCAAGGTTTTCCTTTTGGTCTTAACTATTTGACTTGTGTCATAAATATTAAATTTCAATTTTTTGTGAAAATAATCTTAAACCCTGAAAACTAAGGAGACTACGATATATGTGAAGTGTGTCACATACTGACTGAATCCATGTTATAATATTCACATGCAAGATTTTTCCAAAATGACAAGTAATTGAGATAAAATACTTATGTATAACAAGTAGCAGTTGTAATACTTCCACCTTTTCTTTCTCTCTCCCTGCTCTAATCAATTCAGTGAGAAACTTCATGACTGAAGCATTGGCCTCTTTGTGATCCAGTGGACAGGCAGCTACTCCACACATAAGGACTGGCTTAGCCACCGGAGACTGCAAGATGACCTGTGGTGCTCTTTGGATAAACCTATGTGAGAATAATAATAATAATAATAATAACTAGAGGATCAGAGAGGCGATACCGCCTCCGAATATTGTACCACCAGCTGGAGCAAGCGCATTCGTATAGACCCCCACATACACAAAATAAGGGTCACAGCCACCAGTCTTCTGCTTGACAAGCTGTAAAAATGCAATCAACAAGAATTTTCAAAATATGCAAAAAATATATATGCATAAAAATGGTACAATCAAAGTTAAGTTCATCGTAAGGTAGGTCAAAAGTCAATTTCAAAGTCACAGTAAATTGCCAGTATATGACTTCCTATTCAAGTTCAATAGTAACTATGGATCTATCTCTGCCAGTTTTGGAGATAAAAGGGAACCAAAATTTGCAAAGTTCAGTTCATGGTGAAAAGTAGGTCAAAGGTCAATTTCAAGGTCACATTTAGATTGCCAGTATATGACTTCCTATTCAAGTTCAATAGTAACTATGGACCTATCTCTGCCAGTTTTGGAGATAAAAGGGAAGCAAAATTTGCANGTGATCCAGTGGACAGGCAGCTACTCCACACATAAGGACTGGTTTAGCCACCGGAGACTGCAAGATGACCTGTGGTGCTCTTTGGATAAACCTATGTGAGAATAATAATAATAATAATAATAATATATTTAATCCAACTTAATTCAATTGGATTTTATAAGATAAAGTGTGTGTGTGTGTGTGTGTGTGTGTGTGTGTGTGTGAAACTCTTTATCACGTAGTCATGCATAAGACAACTAAGCCAATCATGCCAACAATTCACATACCTAAGACATAGTCTAAACCAATCATCTACTGTATCCGGATGATTTCTAAATCCATTTGGTTCTTCTAACTGCTTGAAGGCTGGTCCCATGAAAGCCTGATATGTCACAAAACAGTATTAGGTGATGAACTGTGTGAGAAACAACTATAGTCAAGGCCCAATATTCCACACTTAATTAACCCGAAAGAACAAAATCTGAAAACGAAATTGTTTATTGACACACATGTAACCCTGCTTTATCTTTATTTTTGTTATGACTTAAGATTGCAATAAGACTGGATAGTGTAACTCTTCAGAACTTACTTTGACCATATCGAGAAGACCCTGCTGACAGCCCTCTTCCTCTCCATACTCATCCACCAGTATACTCCCCAGGTAGAGGAAACAAGAGTGCTGGTGTAAGGAGTACATTTCCACCATCTAGAAACAAAGATAAGTGACATTATCGATAGGAAATCCTTCATCACCAATCTAAGTTCTTTTGTGAAGAAATGCTCTTATTACAGATTGACTTAGTTTTAGAACTTTTAAATCAATTTCTCTTAACAAAAATATGAAAATTGTATCATATGTAAATTGTCATTGTCTTTTACAACCATTTTTCTTTAACAACAGTCTGCAGCATTAATCACTGGCCATGCAACAGTAAAATTGAAATTAGCCAGATAAATTGTGTACTCGAGATTGGTTACTTTAGGCTAATGGAATCTTAGATCCCAAGGAAAAGGACCTGTAGACTTAAAAGTATTTGCCATAAGACTGTTACAATAACACCACACTGTATATCAGGACTATTAACCTCACCTGTGTAACCAGTGGAGTCAAAAGAGCAGCAGAGCCCTTGCCCACACACCTGATGGCAAACCTGATACACCTGCAGCAGCGCTCCACTATCTTTACATCTGCCTGGTAATGATGGCAGGCCCGGGATAATACTGGCCAGACCTGAGGAGAAACCAATGATTTTTCTACTTAAATTTCAACTCTGCTAGATCCACAGTTCTATGTTAACTCATAATTCTCTAAAAATTCCACATGCATATCAAAATAAGATATTACTGATGTGGTGTTTCTCAGAATTCTGTTTGGTTATAGCTGTTAGGTTTGTTGAGTGAGACAATGTGAAGCAGCACAAGGTACCAGTGTGAGTTATGTACAAAATGTTGGATATGCGAAATTGCAAGAGCTATCACAATATTTAAGTGCATAGCATCATGTAGTGCATCAGCAGTGAGTATATTTACCTCCTGTACTACAGGCTGACAGGGATGAAGCTGCCCATTGATGACTGTGGGGTTTGTATGTCTAAATATGGCTGCAAGTCTGTCTAACCAAACAGTTGGGTCTGCTTTACTTCCTGTATCTTTGGCACTGTCATCCAGTATCTGTGAGACAGAACAGTGAACTAGTAAGTATATCATATTGTGTTCTTCTATTGTTTTATTCAAATTTTAAATGGAATAAAACAAATATTTCTAGAAAAAACCTTACATTGAAATTTGGCTAATTCACAGTTGGCACATCATTTCTTATTCCAAGTGATTACGTCAACACCACCCCTGATTCTCACCTTCTGTAGTGGTGTGATCTGCAGAATGCACATCTCTTTTAACCCTTCAGTTATTTTTTCATGAGGTAATTTAGCCAAAATCAAAGACACTCCTGGAAAGAAAAAACATTTGTGAGTATTACTTTATTTGATCTACATTCAAAAATTGATACTGACTATTCCTACAATATTCACCTACAATCATTTCCATAAAATGATACATCACCAAATAATGGGATAATAAAGATATAATATGTAATATTATAAAGTAACGTTCTATAATATGTTATATATGAATTATGCAAATTCTGCACAATACCTTTTAATAATCCCACAGCTGCATCATTGTCTAAGTTAAAACTGTCTATGGCCTGAATTATCTGCATCAATCCAGCAAAGTGGTCTGTCATTCTCTGTTTACATTGCTCACAGATGTACAGCAGTGCTGAGGCCGACACCGATGCCAGACTCGGCACATGGAGGCACACCATTAGAAACTGGAGCACGGGTTCTGAAATGTGGGATACAGAACTGTTTAAAACTAAGCATGGGTTCTGAGATGTGGAACACTGCTGTTAAAAAATTGTTTTGGAAACAAGAGAGAACCATGGGTTCCTAGACACTGTAAAAAAAGTGTTCCTAAAAAGTAGTCAAACATTTAGAAACACTGATGCCAAATTACACAAAAAAAAAACAAAAAAAATGCAACTTAATGGACCATAAAATTACATACTAATTGTATTGTTTTTCAATCAAAGATTGAAAAACTATACTAGTTGTATTGTTTTTCAATCAAAGACTGAGGAAATATTCTACACATGAATTACCTAACACGTCTGGATGCTGCTCTATCCATTCACTCAGCTCTCCTATGAGTTGTACACTGGTGTATTTGACAGCTATGTGGGCAGACTCAGGAAGATGGAGGATAGCCTGGAGGACTTGGGGAACTATTTCATTCTCATCCCTAGTATAAGAAGTGGAGAGAAAATTAAGCATAAAATCTAAACAAAATGAGTCACACACACAAAGAGAGAGAGAGAGAGAGAGAGAGAGAGAGGGAGGGGTGGGACTTATTACATTTGTAATCTAATTCAGTCTCCAAATATCTATTATCATGAAATTTTCTTGGTTAGATAAAGAATACAAAAAGACGGAAAATGTGAATAAGTAACAAAAATCTGTACTCAGTAAATAACTACCAAAATGCTAAGAAAATAAATATTTAATGGATAGAGTGACTTACGGTAAAATAAACTTTGCTACTGCACACATAACAAAGAGAGCTGCCTCAGACACATCCCAAGATGTTTCTGAACTTTGGTTCTTTAAACTATCAAACATCTGCAACAAAATTATCAATGTTTTAAACCATCAAACACACATGACTAAATTTCATCCTTTTTCTCTTATCAATATCATTCCAAAGGAAGATCAATTATCTATAAATGCATACAAGGTATTTAAAAATTTGAACCAACTGATTCTATAAGTTTTAACTTTGAAATGTTCTGCAATTATATTGTAATAAACCTGAATGTGTTACTCACTTGAGCAAAGCAGTTTGCAGAGCCCACAAGGAAGACCACATCTTTGATCAGTTCTGAAACTCTGGCTCTGAAGTCACCAAAGTCATCATTTTCATCTGGCAGACTGTCCTGAAATTTCAATAAATGTCATAATTATGTTTTTTTCTTTAAATAGATTGAACAAAACACAATAGACCATAAATATATATTGTTTAAAATGAAACCTAACAACTTCCACCTTATATGATGAACATTACAGTTACTAGAGATTATAAACACGAAAGAAAAGTGAAACATTTAGCTGACTGCATTTTAAATGGGAAAACCAGATATGTTAAACCAGATATGTTACTCACATGATCTGGGTCAAGTTGACAGTGTCTGCACAAAGCTATAATAAGTCTCTGTATGTAGGGACTGAACATTCTGTTCATGATCTCATCATTTCTCTGGTATAACATCTCTGACAAGCGATACCAAAAGTTAAATGTGATTTCTGCAATCTGGAGACAAAATGAACAAAAAAAAAACAACTTTTGAGTGATTTTGCAACTGTTATCTTTGTGGCATGGAGTAACTAAAAGCATGACAGAAAGTTTTATAATTAAAGAGTTATGTACATGGCATATCACTGGAAACATTAAAAATAAAAAACATTTACGAGGTGCAATAAAATGAAAAAGAAGGATGTCATACTGTATTTTTAATTGTTTAGGTATGACAGCATGTTAGGTGTAACTCTTACCTCATACTGATGGTGACCTACACATGTACACAGAATTTCTAGTGTTCTAAAATCTCCAAGACCCTGAAAATAAAACATCATTTTGGTTAGCAGCTTAATAATATACAAAATTGTTCACACAGAGTTTAAACATTTCGACAGATGAAGATATCCAGGTGATTTATAACCATCTTTACACATTATAAGCCAATGCTCTGCACTTACCTGATTTGGTGTCTTCAACATTGCTTCTAAAAACGATTCTGCCATTTCAGTAAAAATCCGACAGAAATTGATTGACCTGCAAATAAAAACAACATCATAATTTTCTTCGTCACAAAAAATATCTGAGGACAACCCCAACTTCAGTTGTCAGCAGTAGTTTTTAATACTGAAATGTCCATAACATTGCGAAGAAAAATCTAGAAGAAGTTGAGACAGCCATCTATTACAGTTATTTGTTAAACTAGTATAAAAAGAACTTCAGTTGAAACTCACTTGTCCAGATCTTCTTGTGCCACAGACATGTGATAGGCATCTGTCAAGGTCATCACAGCTTGGAACAGTGCCTCAGACAACACCTTCATTTCCTTGGAGTCCTTCAAAGATGGAGACACTGTTCACCAAAATGAGGTCTTAAGACAGAAAATCTTATTTTCCTTTTATGTTTCAAAGCAAATCAATATAGTTAAATGGAAAACATTGATGAAAACCCTATTTATTTACAACAGATATATCTGCATTTGTGAGTCATATTCTACACATACCTCAGTACAATACAGTGCAGCACATACGCAGTCTGTGGCAGCTTCGTGTAGTGTGGAGGAACAACCAAGTAAAACCTGAAATAAAAGAATGATGAAAAAGTTATTCATCCATTTTATCACACAGAAAAACGAGTGCTACAGCATCAATTAGCATGAAAAGAAGTTGAATGAAAAATAGACATATTACATAATGTCAATCCCATATAGCAAGAAAAATGAAGCAATTCAAATTGAAATTTCAAATGGCATAAAAGTAAAAAAGTAAAACAAAACTGTGCAAAGGTATTTAACAAGAATGTTATATATATATATATATATATATATATATATATATATATATATATATATATATATAACCCACATATTATGTACATTCAATGATAAAATGTTCTATCGTATTGATTTACCAAGGCCTGAAAAGGTGCTGTCAGCATAGGGCTCTGGACTATTAAATCCTGAGGTACAGCAGCAACATTGAACCAACTTGCAAGACAGCGAAAGATTTTAGTCTGCATTTTCTCCTCCTGGGAAAAATTCTCACGACAAACAGCCTGAATGATAAATAAAATAAATCAATAAATGAGAGCATTTTATTCACCAAGCAGAAAATATTAATCACATATTTAAACAATTGCAAACCCATAGTATTATTTATATATTTGGGTTAAACATATTTAACTGTTATAATCTTATATCTGCTGTTTCCTTTGTAATTTTCTGAAGAATTATCATTAACCTGAATCCAAACAATATAGGATGGCAGTTGATGATAGATAAAGGCACATTATAATGGATGCACTATTACCTCCATCTTCATATGAAAAACTTAGTGAACTGCCAGTAAGTACATTTCAGTAAACCAGTTCATCTTAAAAACTAGGCAAAGGTAGCACTAACAAATACACAATACTCAGACCACATTATCATGTATTACTGCGATACACTCACCAGCAATTGTAGCACCATAGGGGCCGTTTCTGTCAGTTCATCAATGATTTCAGATCTTCTATTAGCACCAAGTCTAAGTGACCGACTATTCACCTTCAATAAAAAGCACTTTACATGGTAAACATCATACAATGTTTAAAAGCTAAAATTGCACATCAGTGAAAGAAAACGGTGTTGAGATGATAGTCTTTGAAATAAGTTTTCTAAAGGGTTGTAACAATACATCTCACTTCACTTTATGTTTTAAAAGGCAAACATGCTAACCTCTTCTGGCATCACAGTTAAGATTTCCACTAAACAGTGCACATGATCCACATTGCCACTGAACCTAGAATGAGAACAGGTAATATTTCAGCTTTCCCAGTCTGCTTAAGATGACCTCAAGACACACAGGGAAGTACTTACTTTCAAATTAGACTTAACATTGCATTTGGATAAATTACCATAAAAATGTTTTGAATTTATATTCATGGCAGATATTGTTAATTAATGTGGCACATAAATATCATAAATAAATAAACAAGCAATGACTTACATTTAGAGAAATCAATTTGACATCAATAATTGATTCTAAATGTTTATTGTTGTTAATACAAACATTAAATCACAATGAAAAAGATATTTCACTTCAGATAATTGGTTCACTCAAGTAACTAATATCATATGATAGGGCATTTCTGTACAGGTAGTGGGTACAAGGTTTTTGTTTATTAAACACCAAGTAAAAAGGAGCTAATACCTGTCAATGAGATCCCTGGCTGCATTCTTCCAGGTTGCCATTTGAAGAGCTAAGTCAGCAAGTGCTAGACATAACTTTAAAATAAAATGACAAACTTTCAAACACTTCTAGCATATAATAATTATAATTAAAATATAAACAACACATAATAATAATAATTCTAGAGACTGTTTATTTTGAAGTAGCATTTCAGGACTTGAGGGATCTTCAGGAACCAATGACTTAAACAGTGGCAAAAATTGATTACCATATGAACAAATAAAATGATTCCAGACTGTTTATTTTGAAGTAGCATTTTTAAAAACATTTGGCAGATCTTCTTTAATCTATGACTTTAAACAATGGCAAAAAAATTTGGCAATAAAAAAAGAGTGGGGCATGAGAGGGTGAGGGTAACGTGGCATATTTTTCTAGTCTACCTTGGTGATATTTCCACCTTCTGTTTACACCTTTAAAAACAGTGGATTTATTAAAAGGTCAACATTAGTGCAATAGCACTTTTATTCAAACTATTTAAAAGTATTTGGATGTGATTTACCTGTGTGACTATTACTTGATTTGTCCCTGCATTGGTTTTACTGATGTGGTCTAAGAGAGAATTTCTTAAAGACTGCAAAAAAATTAAATGTGATTTGATCAAAGAAATTCATAAATCTTCCTTCTTTACATTACCACTAAAAAAGTCATTTAAATATTTCTTCAAAACTTGCTATTCGCCTTGTATAAAAAACAATATTCTGAGAAAAAAAATCAACCAAATCCATCTTAAGGCACAAACTGTTACACATACCTGATGTGTTGCTGGTGGTAGTTCATGGAAGGCATACTGAATCTGTAAACAACAGTTACTAATGTATAATGATGAAAAAACAATAGACATTTCAAATGTCAATTTATGTGGGATAACTTCAATCAGAGTAACATGCTGCAAACTTAGGGTGCTTATGCAGTATCCCCCACCACCTCCAAAACAACCATTAAACTGTCATTTTTATGTTTATCAAAATTAGGTAATAAGATGACTTTGATCGCTGTCTCTGCTTTTCAAATAAATAATTTCACTTTATTTTTTTACCTTTTTTTTTCCTTTAAACTTTCAAGCTCTTTGACCAATGAGATTACAGTAAATTTTTACCCTTGCAATTGACTTTCTGATTGACACTGATCAATTAGTGAATGAATTATAGAACTTATTTATTTGAATTGTGGAGACATTGCTCAAAGTCACCACATAATTTAGATTAGAAAACATATTGAGAATCAAAAAGTTATAAGGAGGGGGGAGGTACTGCAAAAGTGGTAAACTTTTATCTTTAATGTTAAGTAAACACAATAGCTAACCAACTGATGAAATAAAATGTGCTGTCAAACTTAAAACTTGTTCATAACATGCTACTCAGTAATAACCTACCTTTGTCCTCATGGTTTGAGCTGCAATATAACATGATTCTAGGTCTCTATTTTGTTGTAAAAGATGGTCTGCAATTTGCCAGGCAAACACCTGGAAGAAAACAGAGGATACTGTACAGTAACAGTTCAGCCAATCCGATTGTTTCAGTTATTGCTAATCCCGCAATGACTTATTTAGCCCAATGTGATAAAAATCGTTCAACTGTTTAAAATGATATTGTGGCTTTTAAGAAGATTTGCAACTACCTAACTTTAACTATTCATTCCACAGATTGAGTATTGTATAGCTTTGACATTAGAATGTACATTAATCATGTTCACCATGCTGCACAGAGGACTCACCGATTTCTGTAATTCTCCCAACCAAACAGACGCTTTTTCTTTTCCTGCTGGATCAGGGTGGTGGTAAAGAGCATGTATTGCTTGTAGCACCGTCTCAATGGACGGTGCTGAATCCATTATTTACCACAAAACGTTTACAGTCGAAGCGGCCTGTGCACAGAAAATCAAGCCTTGCAAATCCCAGCCCAACAACAGTACCGCAGAAAATGGTGAGCTTAAATCTTTAACATTACTAAAAGCTACTTAAACTTCGATTAGATATATTTCAGATCTCTTTTAGATAATATATATAATATTTCTATATATTATAAAAGTGTGAACATGGTGTAATTATATATTTTGATTATAACTGATCCGCAGTTTGAAAAAGTGACCTTCACCTTGTGGGAGTAAAAGGGGAAACTGGAGTAGGGATTCTAAATTACTATTTGTAAATTCATTAAATTAAGCTTCAATTATGGATGAAGACGGATTACCATTAGTAGGCCCAGGGGTAGATTTTACAAAGGTAAAAAGGGGAAGTGAAATAAACGTAACACTTAACTTTAAAGCATTTGAAAGTTTTTTTTACTTCAGTTTTTTCAAGTCGGTTTGCCTGCAGTCATGTGATTTTCGGCATTAACGTCAAGGCATTTTTGCAGTACCCCCCCCCCCCCCCAACACCCCACATAATCTATGATGTTCAATAATTTTTTCTAAATTAAATTATGTGGTGACTTTAAGCAATGTCTCCGTTATTCAAATAAATTATTCTTGCAACTCATTTACTAATTTTAAGATATTTTTACATGAAACTTTGCCCTCCTATTATTATTATGAGAGCTGAGGTTATCACTAGGGTGAAAATTTGCTGTAATTTCATTGTTTAAAAAAACCTGAATGTTTATTTAAAAAGATAAAAAATAACTTAGTAAATTTCCAAACTAATTTATTTGAATAGCAGAGACATTAACCATAGCCACCACATAACTCCGTTTTGATAAGCATTAAAAATAGTTACAGGGTGGGGGGGGAACACTGCAAAAGTACCAGTGTCAGAACAATACATATATATGTTAAAATTTTTAAATATCCAAGGCATTTTGAAGTGTTCATTTTGTTTGTATCATCACACATTTTTGTTGAATTTTATGATATATTTCGGCACAAATACTTACCAGTGGATAATAATTTCATGTGGACATTCAGAGTTAGTCGATTGTTTTTTTTTTATTATAATTTTTTTTTTTTTTTTTTTTTTTGTATTAATCTCTTAAGAGATTATTACTGAGGGTAGTCATCTATGAAGGTCCACATGTTCAAGAAAATTGAGATAACTACGGTTTTGGTAGTAAAATACGTTTTATTATATTTCTTTGTGTTGTTTACTAGGTATTTATTGCAGAATTTTGAATCTCATATGAAGAGTTGCTAATTATTTAATCACCTTTGGTAATATATTTGGCCTTTAAATTACCCTCTTTCCTTGTGAATGACAGTTTCCTGTGAATTTACTTAGGACTAGACTTTTAGAATTCGACCCCTAAAATATGTTTAACTTTCAGCATGCTTGAACAACTATATTGTATATATTCACCACATATATCAGAAGGGCTTTGGGAGGTCAGGTAGTGTGTGACCTGTATTATATCTTTGTTGGACATCCAACTTGTTTTGGGCCATTGTTTTGTACACAAGAAGAGTTAAAATCCTAACATGAAAGAACTTGAGTATGTTGCAAATTTGTATACCAAAGATGTATACCTATACTAGCTAAGCTGCCACCATGATAGGTAAGGTAATTTATCTAAAGACCGCACTAATCTACCTGGATTACTGTGGTATTTAAAAGTAGTTTTATGTGGTTTTTAGATTTGGTGACAGACAAGCGTGTGCATGCATACCCAACCTTCCAAGTTGCCCCCACCCCCTCCAACACACACACCCACATACAATTAATATATATATATATATATATATATATATATATATATATATATATATATATATATATATATATATATACTTGAAAGTCAGAAAGCAGTCTCTAATGCAACTGCTCTAATGTATATTTTGTTTTACTTAGCCCACAAGATCAAATTGATAACCAGTACTAATGTAAGGTGCTCAGTTGTGCATTTGTCTCACTTTTCCCCTTTTCCTCAGTAATAGAGGCTATAGTACTCAGCTGGTACTTATAGTTGTTGTTTCTGTTTCTAGGTCGGAGCAATTCACCATAAAAGAACAGTAGCATTCCTTAACCATTTTGTCATCCACACATCAAGATTTCTTAACAGGTTTTCATGTGTTTGTGAAGAAAAGCTTATGCATCTGTCAACTAGAATCCAGAGGTTAGAGACAACTATGAACATGCTGGAAACAAAGGTAAACTTATACTGGATATGATAATGTCATGTCTACATATAGTTGTATCATGTATGCAATACAACACTAAAAATACATAATTACCATTGTTTTGGACTTGTGCTGTTCTCCTAGTTTTTATATATAACAAGAACAGATAGACTGTTTAAAAATGTATGATGACTGAAATTGAGATATCACTTATTAATATATTGAATAACACTTGAGCCATAAATCCAGGGTATATGGTATTGTCACAGTAAATTGTTCAGATTATTTATTTTTATCAGTCAGTTATTTTTGGGTAGATATCTTCCATTCCTGGCCTGGAGAACATAACAGCCCCAGCCAGTAGTGCACCATCTTCTGGAACAGCAGACACACAAGCACCACCAGGTACAGCACCAGCGGCACCACCAGCACCACCACCAGCAGGGGATTCTGCTGCACCAACAGCAGCACCCAATGCAGAACAACCAGCACAGACTGAGGTATACCAGATATTTCCATCACTACATAAATAAACCTGATATCATGTTGACAATTCAGTCCAATTTCATGTCTCACAGCCATATCCTGAGTCACCCCTGAACAAACAATAATTACACATGTAGATTATTAAAAGTTCAAACTCTAACTATGAATCAGATGAGATTTGGCAACATTTGACCCTTCTTATGTTAAGATGAATTGACATATATTATTATATGAAACAAAAGTCAAATGTAAATTATCTCCTCATAAAAATGCTGATGAAGGTGTTTTGTCACAGTGGTGCAATAAATGGATATTTATGTCATTTGTCTCTTTTATTTCAGGAACCACAGCCAGAAAAACCAAAAATGACAGTTTCCCAAGATCCAAGATATACAAAATACTTTAAAATGGTGACAGTGGTGAGAAACATTTTGAATGAAAACGTGATGATTATTTGATTAATTGTAATCATTATCAGTCATTAAAATTTGCGTGATAAAAAATTCCCTGGGTGCCAGAAAAATAGCAAAGCAAAACAAAAACATTGGGCTTATAATCTACTAGGATTAAATTAGACTGATCATGATTCTTTTACCAAGTAACTAAGAATGCAAATGCTATTTTTGCACCCTGTTATAATAGTTTTGGGTATTTTTGCCTTCTTCAGGGAGTTCCTGCTGCAGCTGTGAGGCCAAAAATGTTAGCTGAAGGTTTAAATCCAGACCTTTTAGAGTATGTTCGAATTTGTGGCTCTTGAATTTTGTTTATGACTTACAAAATTGCCAACCTTATGAGTAAGCAAAATGAGTAAATTTCACATTTATTTGTGATTTCTTGTATCAGTTTTTAACCTGTATGGCAGCTTGGAGAAATGTTGGAAACACTTTGAAAAAAAAGCAGTCAGTTAAAAGAGTCATACACCTGCAAATTAAATGATATAATTCAGTGCATAACATAAAAACTAGCTGATGACTTTTAGTTTTGGCAATAGGTATTGAAATAATGAAAACACTTTAATGCTTGTATGTGTTATCATTTTGTGATTCTTGTATTTTTTCAGAACTCCAGATGCTCCTGCCCCAGAGGGAGAAGAAACTAAAAATAAAGATGATGATGCTTCAGATTTTAGTGACAGTGCTTCAGATGACAGCAGTGGAGGCTTTAGTGACTGAGATTTAAGTGTTTCAAGTGTACAGCATTGGAAAATTCAGTCAACAGGCCTCCTGTTATATTTTCAAATAAGGGAATATGAGACGTTTATGATATATGACCCTCCTCTCACTGAGGAATCTGCCTGACTGACAGAATTTCGTCATCATTGGATGGTGCTAAGGATTGCAATAAACTGTTAAGTTTGCAATTTATAATCGATTAAAATGAGCTGTAAGTTTCAAGTTCGTTATGTGTTACTGAAATTTTTCAGTAATATATCTCTGTGATAGAAATGATAAGATGTCGATTGAGATATTTTATTAAGATTATAAATATTTCAATTGTTTCTATAAATCAAGCAACATTATGAAAAATTCTGTAAGTGTATACACAAATAAATAACAATTACATTATTAATGAAAATGGCTTCACTGATTTATGGTACTTCTTGCAAAAGGATAGTTTTGTTCACTACATTGGATAAAAAATTAATTTATCATGTGATTCAGTCAAAATTTTCAAATTTCATGTACTGCATTTTTGGTTTTCACATACGATTGTGCATATTGCAAACAGCCAAGATCCCTATATAATAATAAATATTATCTACTCATTAACAAGCTAGTTTTTTTATACATTTTTTTGTGTTAACCTCAGAAAATGTCTATGCAAATGCATTAAACCAGTTAGGAGAAAAAAAACTTTTGACTGAATCACATGATAAATTAATTTTTAAAAACTGAAATATACTGTATATATATATATGTACGTTAAATAACATTGACAAAACTGAAATTTAATAATTTTGAACAAATTCACATAATCTAGGAAAAATATTTGTATAAGCGCAGCGCTGGTTTTTGAAACAATCAAACTTGGATAATATTTCCTTAAAGCATGAGTTTTTATCGATGTTTTTTAAATTTTTTGCTTTATTGATATTCTGTTGGTCAAGGGTGGTTCTTTTCCAGATGTCAGGAGAATATATTATTATTGAAAAGAATATAGTTTTTCATTATTTATTTTTAGGTTATTTTAAATTGAGTCAAACTCCAATGACATGTGCATGCATTTTGTTCACCCTGCAAGCAACAACTTGAACCATTTTTATCGTGTCAGCAAGGTCATTTGCAAATAGCTTTTATCAGCGCATTGCGTTAGTAAGCATCTATAAAGTCACTAAGTCAAACTGAATAAGCATGTTTTATATATTATGCTGATTCAGTGCAGCTGCCATCACCATCACTGATGTGACACATTCCTTTGTGCATGACTTTAGTGACAGGCGGAGAGTGGATTAATGGGAAAACCAGTATTAGCCAGTATTAGCCGGTTATTTATTAACCGCTCCCCGTTCACTCTCAGACAGTAGGTATAAAGCAAGGATTCGCCTTATTCATATAGACCATAGGCCTAATTATGTTCATATCTTAACTATGTAAATTTATTATTTTTTATATTCTTTTTCATATTATGTGAAAAATTGCAGTGGTTAAAAACCCCCTAAAAACCGCTGTTCTGTTTTAAATAAATGGGTCAACCATTTCTAAATAAGGGATGTCATATGGCCCTGCAAAAGGTTGAAAGGTTAAAAAGATATCTCTATATGGAGATAGGCGTTACCAAATCACTCAATCAAAATTTCGTTACTTAGCAACAACGGCTGACATCCAACGGATGACAGCAACGTATAAAAGGAAGCTGCATTTGAATGTTCATCAGTTAAAGCGGTTAAAGGGGGGTATCTGTTTTAAAATCACTAGATATAAGTCCATCAAAACCGTTGACCAAAAATGCGTGAAATAGTTCATCTGCAAGCAGGCCAGTGTGGCAATCAAATCGGGGCAAAGGTATGTACCTTGGACAATACTGCATAAAAGCATATCTAGATAAAGAGCACTATAATCATGCGAAAAGAAAAATATTGATTTACAATTTTAGAGACCTCTCTATTTTTCAGCAACATGTATTGTTTAATATCTAGTCCCGTGTGCTAACAGTTATATCATCTTATTACAGTCCTACTTGATTTTATTTAGCTAACAGACACGTAGATTTTGAAAAGGGGTGAAGAACTAGAATTCAATATTCGGACTTAGCCCAGTCTTTACAAAATTGGGTGCTACGGAAGTTTATACTTCGGTCAATATTCTTTTAGTTTGTCTATTTAAAAGGCATTGTGCATTATAGATTTTAAAAGTCCTTATTATTAAATTCTTGAATTTATTTTTTAGTTTTGGGAGGTGATCTCAGATGAGCATGGCATTGATCCAACAGGCACCTACCATGGCGATTCAGATCTGCAATTGGAAAGAATCAACGTGTATTACAATGAAGCTACAGGTGGAAAATATGTTCCCCGTGCAGTGCTTGTGGATTTGGAGCCTGGAACCATGGACTCCGTCAGATCTGGACCTTTTGGACAAATATTTAGACCAGATAACTTCGTATTTGGTATGTTTGTTTCAAATATATGAAGAATAGTTCAAAAATTTATCAACTGTAAAAAATGTTGCAAAATAAGGGACCATTCCCACAGATATTTGGATCGATTGATCTATCTCCCTGGGGAGTCTCACTAAATTGCTATCAAACTAATCAGCTTAAAGGTCTGTCACACCTAGTAAAGGGGTAATTATATTTACCTCTAGCTGATTCAGTAGGCGTGACAGACATTTAAGTCTCTTGAGCTGATAGCAATTTAGCGTGAACCCCCAGGGAGTTAGGTCGATCCAAATGGATTGATCCAAGTATGGGAACCCAGTCTAATTTAAGCAATTTTGCTACTCTCACTTATTGTTTTGGGAGGATTTTATTTATCCCTATTTTCTATATAGTGTGGCAGCATGTTCATATTGTTTTTTCTATTCTGTAGGTCAGAGTGGTGCTGGAAACAATTGGGCCAAAGGTCACTACACAGAAGGCGCTGAACTTGTAGACTCTGTATTAGATGTGGTGCGAAAAGAGGCAGAAAGCTGTGACTGTCTTCAAGGCTTCCAACTCACACATTCTCTTGGTGGTGGAACTGGGTCTGGAATGGGAACTCTTCTCATCAGCAAGATTCGTGAAGAATACCCTGACAGAATCATGAATACATTCTCTGTGGTGCCATCTCCAAAAGTATCAGACACTGTAGTCGAGCCATACAATGCTACCCTGTCTGTGCATCAGCTCGTTGAAAATACAGATGAAACTTACTGTATTGACAATGAGGCTCTGTATGACATTTGTTTCCGCACATTGAAACTAACAACCCCAACTTATGGCGATTTGAATCATCTTGTATCAGCCACTATGTCTGGTGTCACAACATGTCTCCGCTTCCCAGGCCAGCTGAATGCAGATCTGCGTAAATTGGCTGTAAACATGGTACCGTTCCCCCGACTCCACTTCTTCATGCCAGGGTTTGCTCCTCTCACTTCTCGTGGTAGCCAGCAGTATCGTGCTCTGACTGTCCCTGAGCTAACCCAGCAGATGTTTGATGCCAAGAACATGATGGCTGCTTGCGATCCTCGCCATGGACGCTACCTTACTGTTGCTGCTATGTTCCGTGGTCGCATGTCTATGAAGGAAGTTGACGAGCAGATGCTGAATGTGCAGAACAAAAACAGCAGCTACTTTGTTGAATGGATTCCCAACAACGTGAAGACTGCAGTCTGCGACATTCCACCTCGTGGATTGAAAATGTCTGCCACTTTCATCGGTAACAGCACTGCTATCCAAGAGCTGTTTAAGCGTATCTCTGAGCAGTTCACCGCTATGTTCCGTCGCAAGGCTTTCTTACATTGGTACACTGGTGAGGGTATGGATGAGATGGAATTCACTGAAGCAGAGTCCAACATGAATGATCTGGTGTCTGAATACCAGCAGTATCAGGATGCAACTGCAGAAGAAGAGGGTGAATTTGATGAAGAGGAAGAAGAGGAGATGTAATGGGTTAAGACTGAATTTTGAAAATGTTGACTGTCAACTCCATTTGAGACTAAAAGAATGAAAATAATTTTTTTTCTAGTCACTATTCAGAGTTGTGAAAATGTGTAGATTGCATTCATGTTTGATGTGGATTTTTATCCTGCATGAATAAAAAATACTTCATTTCCACTTATTTTATGTTTTAAGGGACCAGTCTTTTGTTGGTTGGATTTCAATTTGACACGATTTCCTCTTGTGCATATAAATTGATGTGCTGTTTAGACTGCACATTTTGGATTAATTTTCCTTGTCCATTTTGCTACTAACACAGATGGATTCCTACAGTCTACATAATCATAATTGTACCCAGAAAATTGAAGAATGCCTGTTTTAAAAGTGACAAATTTGTGTAATATATGGCAGGCAAATTAACTTAGTTGTGACACCTTTGCTTCCTCCCCCCCCCCCCCCCCCANAAACATAATAATAATAATTCTAGAGACTGTTTATTTTGAAGTAGCATTTCTGGACTTGAGGGATCTTCAGGAACCAATGACTTAAACAGTGGCAAAAATTGATTACCATATGAACAAATAAAATGATTCCAGACTGTTTATTTTGAAGTAGCATTTTTAAAAACATTTGGCAGATCTTCTTTAATCTATGACTTTAAACGATGGCAATAAAATTTGGCAATAAAAAAAGAGTGGGGCATGTGAGGGTGAGGGTAACGTGGCATATTTTTCTAGTCTACCTTGGTGATATTTCCACCTTCTGTTTACACCTTTAAAAACAGTGAATTTATTAAAAGGTCAACATTAGTGCAATAGCACTTTTATTCAAACTATTTAAAAGTATTTGGATGTGATTTACCTGTGTGACTATTACTTGATTTGTCCCTGCATTGGTTTTACTGATGTGGTCTAAGAGAGAATTTCTTAAAGACTGCAAAAAAATTAAATGTGATTTGATCAAAGAAATTCATAAATCTTCCTTCTTTACATTACCACTTGAAAAGTCATTTAAATATTTCTTCAAAATTTGCTATTCGCCTTGTATAAAAACAATATTCTGAAAAAAAAAAATTAACCAAATCCATCTTAAGGCACAAACTGTTACACATACCTGATGTGTTGCTGGTGGTAGTTCATGGAAGGCATATTGAATCTGTAAACAACAGTTACTAATGTATAATGATGAAAAAACAATAGACATTTCAAATGTCAATTTATGCGGGATAACTTCAATCAGAGTAACATGCTGCAAACTTAGGGTGCTTATGCAGTATCCCCCACCACCTCCAAAACAACCATTAAACTGTCATTTTTATGTTTATCAAAATTAGGTAATAAGATGACTTTGATCGCTGTCTCTGCTTTTCAAATAAATAATTTCACTTTATTTTTTTACCTTTTTTTTCCCTTTAAACTTTCAAGCTCTTTGACCAATGAGATTACAGTAAATTTTTACCCTTGCAAGGGACTTTCTGATTGACACTGATCAATTAGTGAATGAATTATAGAACTTATTTATTTGAATTGTGGAGACATTGCTCAAAGTCACCACATAATTTAGATTAGAAAAGATATTGAGAATCAAAAAGTTATTAGGAGGGGGGTGGTACTGCAAAAGTGGTAAACTCTGATCTGTAATGTTAAGTAAACACAATAGCTAACCAACTGATGAAATAAAATGTGCTGTCAAACTTAAAACTTGTTCATAACATGCTACTCAGTAATAACCTACCTTTGTCCTCATGGTTTGAGCTGCAATATAACATGATTCTAGGTCTCTATTTTGTTGTAAAAGATGGTCTGCAATTTGCCAGGCAAACACCTGGAAGAAAACAGAGGATACTGTACAGTAACAGTTCAGCCAATCCGATTGTTTCAGCCAATGACTTATTTAGCCCAATGTGATAAAAATCGTTTAACTGTTTAAAATGATATTGTGGCTTTTAAGAAGATTTGCAACTACCTAACTTTAACTATTCATTCCACAGATTGAGTATAGCTTTGACATTAGAATGTACATCAATCATGTTCACCATGCTGCACAGAGGACTCACCGATTTCTGTAATTCTCCCAACCAAACAGACGCTTTTTCTTTTCCTGCTGGATCAGGATGGTGGTAAAGAGCATGTATTGCTTGTAGCACCGTCTCAATGGACGGTGCTGAATCCATTATTTACCACAAAACGTTTACAGTCGAAGCGGCCTGTGCACAGAAAATCAAGCCTTGCAAATCCCAGCCCAACTACAATACCGCAGAAAATGGTGAGCTTAAATCTTTAACATTGCTAAAAGCTACTTAAACTTAGATTAGATATATTTCAGATCTCTTTTAGATAATATATATAATATTTTTATATATTATAAAAGTGTGAACATGGTGTAATTATATACTTTGATTATAACTGATCCGCAGTTTGAAAAAGTGACCTTCACCTTGTGGGAGTAAAAGGGGAAACTGGAGTAGGGTTTCTAAATTACTATTTGTAAATTCAGTAAATTAAGCTTCAATTATGGATGAAGACGGATTACCATTAGTAGGCCCAGGGGTAGATTTTACAAAGGTAAAAAGGGGAAGTGAAATAAACGTACCACCTAACTTAAAAGCATTTGAAAGTTTTTTTTTTGATTAATTTTTTTCAAGTCGGTTTGCCTGCAGTCATGTGATTTTTGGCATTAACGTCGAGGCATTTTTGCAGTACCTCCCCCCCCCCACACCCCACATAACCCTATGATTTTCAAAAAAAAATTTCTAAATTAAATTGTTTAGTGACTTTTATCAATGTCTCCGTTATTCAAATAAATTATTCTTGCAATTCATTTACTAATTTTAAGATGTTTTTACATGAAACTTTGTTCTCCAATTATTATTATGACTGCTGAGGTTATCACTAGGGTGAAAATTTGCTGTAATTTCATTGTTAAAAAAACTTGAAGGTTTATTAAAATAGATAAAAAATAAGTTAGTAAATTTCCATACTAATTTATTTGAATAGCAGAGACATTAACCAAAGCTACCACATAACTCAGTTTTGATAAGCATTGGAAAATAGTTACAGGGTGGGGGGAACACTGCAAAAGTACCAATGTCAGAACAATATGTATATATGTTGAAATTTTTAAATATCCAAGGCATTTTTAAGTGTTCATTTTGTTTGTATCATCACACATTTTTGTTGAATTTTATGATATATTTTGGCACAAATACTTACCAGTGGATAATAAATTAATGAGGACATTCAGTTAGTAGATTGTTTTTTTATTCTTATTATAATTGTACCACCAGCGTTAGCGCTGGCGGTACACATGGTTTCGGTCCCGTCCGGATCGTTCCGCCGGCTCCGCCGGCTCCGTTGGCTCCGCCGGCTCCGCCGGATGGCTACCGTTACCGCTTCTCCTCCTAGACGGTAAGGGCCCCCGTACCCATCTCATGGATTTAGGTCACCTATAATCTCAACTCGTTCCACGTAAAATTTGGGCTTTGTCGGTATTGGGGTCTGGGTGTGGCACTCATTGCAATGCACCCTTGTCTAAAAATGGCAAAATTAAATGCTAATTATCTACCCTACGGAAGGAGTTATGGGAAAAATTTCTATAGACGGCTTTCCAAAAGTCATATGTGTAGATTTCAAATATACCCTTGGATTTGACCTTTGACCTCTACTTCAAGGTCAAATGGGCCAAAATTTTCAAAAAAATGAAATTTTTTACGAAAAAAAATTTTTTTGCCCTGTTATTCAGACACCACACAGACTTAACCAATAATATTATTGGAA